CTCCTTACAAAGTGTAGAGATCAATTAAATAAGTCATTGAATTGTCTTTAACAACTATCACCTGGTGGAGCAGAAAAATGGCGACTTTGCGGCTCTCTAACGGTTGTCACCTAACAGAAAAGAGCTAGATGAAGGTGGGGTGTGTATTAGAGAGCTTCATCCTCAAGTCCGTGTAGCAAGAAGAAGCTCTTCATTACATTTGGTACACTCTCTAGAGTTGGTGACTCATCTCTCAGCAGATCATCTTCTTCCCGACGACGACTTATTCGTCGATCAATCAGATATACTTTACTTGATGGATTCACAATCCTTTTATCATGAATCGTTCAACAATTTTAGTAACAATGCTCCACGAATTACATTGATGAGATATTCACTGATGATCCAGCAATTTTGGTGGCTTAATCCTTCACTAGCGATCATAAAAAAAGTCACGATAATCAGATAAAAAATATGAGTTTTGGCTCTAGGAGGATTCGAACCCATGCCGGTTGTTTGCCCTTTTTGAAGAAGGTGTGGTGCGAGTTTAGTCCCACATCGCTTGTGTGTTGAAGTTTATGAAATATTTAGTAATATTACATTTGCAATCAAGTCTCTTTCTCGCACATATACGACCACTCCTTACCCCACAGTCGACTGGCCACTAGTGATGTGGAAGGGGAATGGTGCACACATGCCCCTATCGGTCCTAACTGCTCAAGCCCCTACTCACGGCTCCTCCTCGACTGTGCTTCCGACTTGTTTGTAGGTCCGATTGGCCAACGGGTCCTCTCATTTTGCTATATTTTTATTTTTTTTCTTTTTTTATTTATCTCAAAAGTAAGACTATAAAAATCATATAAATTTATATAAAAATCACATAATTACCCAAAAATTTACGTTAATCAACTAAAAAATACTTTTCACACTTTAACATAAATATAAGTTTATTTATCATGAAGACTTATCATATATCACACCATATTAGAAGTGCGTAGAAGTATTGTCTAGAAGCATTGCGTCACTTGTTGAAGAGATCTGCAGAAAAGAGAGATCAACCACATTGTCATTGTCATCTGAGAGAAGAAGTACAAAGTTGACCATTCGTTGGAGGCCTTGAATATAGTCAGAGAAGGAAATAACAAACTTATTGATCATTCGAGGCATTGATAGTGCAAAAAGATGAAAGAACAGATGTTGTATTCACAACTATTGTCATATTTTTTAAGATAATTGATAATATCTATTTTATCAAAAATAATTCATTAGTATCTTTATATCTATGATACTAATATGTATGAGAACTTAAATTCTTTAACTTTTTTTATTATTTAAGGACGAACGTGAACTCAGATTTCTCATAAATAAATGAACCCAAGTCATAAAATGTTGAACAAGTTAGAGAGTAAAAAAATTATAGAACAAATATAACAATGAGGCTTGAGAGTTATTGAACCCATGGAGCTTGTGAAATCACCCATGTAAGGTCAACTAGGTTCATTTGTCAACCAGGCTTGTAAGTTTCACTTAGACATGTTTATTTCATATGGGTAAATGACCTAGAGTCTAGATGTTGTTGACAAGTTCTTGAGTTTGTTCAATGTTGAATCAAACGAACTCTGAGGGGAAGAGGTCTTCGTCATCCTACAAGATCTACCACCACTACCTCATAGCTGATGGTTGTAGAGGTTTGAGGACTTCTCGTAGGAGTGCCTTCATAAATGCATCCATCTCGCTAATGGATTTGTTGTTATCATAGAACCAGTATGTGAGACTGATTCATCAACAAATGAGAGGAAAGAGATGATAGAGAGAAACAAAAAGCAAAAATTGTGTTTTTTTTTCATGGATAAAAATGAAGTACATTGAAAGAGAGTTTTGTACCATTTGTCCAACTTGTCTTGTTTCTAATTTTTTTGAAGTGCTAATCATACTCATATCTATCAAAAGGCTGAACTTTGGGGACTTGAAATTTACTTGATACAATGATGTTGTTAGGCACCCACCATCAAAGAAGTTGGCTTATTAGGTGAGGTGGGAGCCTTCATCAAATCCTTAGGCTTATTGTCTCTTGTAACATGGCAGCCTCCTAGAGGACTTGATACACTTCTTGTTGCCCTTGCGATTCTAGCATTGGAGGGCTACGCATGTGTTTCTCATTTTCTTCAGCATGGAGAGGGAGGAGGGTTGTTTAAGGGTATTTTCTTTGGTCTCATGTGCGGTCTTCGATTTCTCATGCTATCATCCTCAAATAATGACTTCTCTAGCCCTTAGATAAAATTAAAGTTTGATGAATATTAAATCTAATGTTTGTATGACCTTCTCACATAAGAAATTATTTCCCTATCAAAAATATTATAGTTTAATCTTTTAAAAAAATTGGGCGATCATGAAATGACAATTCATAGTGAGCATCGCTAGATTAGATGTGCTTGATCACGTGGCGTGCTAAGCAACACAAAATAACCCGTCATGAACCACTACTCACCGAAAACTTAAGTCCTTGGTGCCATGGTGCTTTGCTCGCTGTCGGATCATTCTTTCTAATCACATGCATGCTAAGTAATGCAGGATTCATAAACTTCTGATGAATTACTTTACACTTTTGATATTGTGGCAGTTTGCTCACCATTGTATCTCCATATTTGGTAATGTGGTCTACTGAGGGCCATTGGATCACACCACACTCCATATTACTACCCTAAAATAAATGAGAACATTTTAGTCTCGCATTAGAAGTTTTGGAGCGATTGAATTGAATATATATCAGAGGTACATTCTTAATACATAGATCCCTTCTCTTGAATAAAATAATACATAAGATCATCTTGGGAGAAGATAATAAGTGGTTTGCCCTTATATGCACATGTGTGTACGACACTCCTTGCACCACGACTAGTTGGCCACCAATACATGACAAGAGCATGATGCACATGTATGCGAAGCGAGCCTTTCATAACTCGAGCCCAACTCGTGGCTCCTCTAATATGGGTCTACCAACTCAAACATAGTGCCCATCTAGGTCAACTACCAAGTGTTGACTTCTAGCATGTGGTGATATTTTTATATTTTATTCTTATATTTTTCTAATAATTACATTGTCTTTAACTTCAAACTTCTTAATTTAACAATATATTACTATATTTATTATCTAAGTTAACACAGAAATAAATTAATAAAATTATTTAAAACACAAAAATCTAATTATAAGACTATTGAGTATAAATCTCTAGCTTCTACTCTAACTAAAATTATATGGTTACAATAGTTTCTATAAGATTATGGTATCTAGATATCACTTCCAACACTCTTTTTCTATGATAATCAAGCAACAATCAATATTACTTCAAATATTATTTTTCATCAGAGTTTACTGAACACATTGAAGTTGATTGTCATTTTATTCATGAAAAACTTTTTCAAAGCTCCATCAAGTTTCTTCAAGTTACTTCTCAACATCATTTGGCAAACCTTTCTACAAAACTATTACCATCTAGTTATTTTATGATTTATTGTTCAAGATGACATTAAAATAATATTTATAGTCATCTTGAGGGGAGTATTGAAGTATAAGACGCATGCAAACAACACATGTAAACCGTTGTGTATATTCAATAAAGAACTCAATCCCAATAGTTCTTTTCTCTTGAGCAGTGTCTCCCTTTTTTTCTTTTTCATAACAAAGATCTTAAAAATGGTGATTTCAAATAATATGAAGAAGTTTAGAAGTCACCCAACTTGAGATCAACCTTGCTTAATATTTTTGCAAATGGGGGGGTCTTTAGCTCTCCATGCCCAGCAAAAATAAAGGATTTCAATATGTAGTCTCAATTGCAAAATAGTCAACAAAAAAACCAAGAGAGTTGGTGAATTAATAGTTTTTATATCTTAATTGACATGCTTTTAAAAAAAAAACTTTCGTGAGGAAAGGTCACCCATTTTTGTGAAGGGAGAAATCGAAATTATAATGAAATGGCTCTCCAAGTGTCCAGTCCATGACAACTGGTTGCTAGAGTCAAACCCCATATTTCTTAAAAAGTTTTATTTTCCTAGAGAAAATTTCAAGTTGACATTGAATTCATGGGACCTACTTGAAGGTTTTATTAAATCTATTTAGAATACATCTCTATAAAAATAGAAATTTCACAAATGGTATTATGATTAGTTTTAAAATCAGTTTTATATTTTTCCTCTTCATCACTGAAAAATCTGAGTATTAATAGAGAGTGTAGTCAATTAGAATGCTCTTATATTAGTCATGATAATTGTAAAATTATTAATTTAAAGATGTTGGTGAGCCACTTATTTCTATTCAATTCTGATGGAAACTTCTTTATTTTATTTAAATACACGTATATATGCCCTTCTTGTCATTATCTATATTTTCATAAAAAAAATTACCTCTCTCTAGGCAAGAACGATTTTTCATGCTATTTTTCATAATTAAAATACTATATTAAAAGTTAAAACGATGCATAGCCGGGAACTTTTTGCCCTTTGTTTTCCATCCCGTGGTAGCCGAGTCGTCTGGAATTTCCATTCTCGAAATAGAAGATTTGGTTGTGAAATGACTCTAAAGATTCCACAGAATTTCAAAACCCGTTGAGCGAAGAGAGAGTTTGGATTTCATCAGGCAAAGGGAAACAGATGAGAACACATTTCCACCCTAAGATGGCGAATCCGAGAGCGGGAAATGGACGGTCACGATTTAAATAACTATGAATTTTACGAAATGTTTGATAGGGGGAGAGAGAGAGAGAGAGAGAGAAACTGGGGTAGACCCCTGTCTCAAGAAACCCCGGCATTCAACTTGGGCGAGAGAGAGAGAGAAAGAGAGAGAGAGAGAGAGAGAGAGAGAGAGAGAGAGAGAGAGAGAGAGAGAGAGAGAGAGAGAGAGAGAGAGAGAGAGAGGGAGAGACTCTTCCAAAAATTTCTTTGGAATTGGGGATTTTGTGAGGAATTTCGCATTTTGATTCAAGCCTTTGGGCGGTGTTCTCTTCGAGCGGTTGGCAACGACGAAGATGGGCTCACGGGAGGAGGAGGCCGTGATGGCTGAGTTGCAGAATCTGCAGAGGCAACTGGGGAAGAAGCACTCCTTCGAGGGGGCCGTCGCTGGCATCGTTTCTATCCTCCGCAGCCGCTACACTTCCTCATCCCCGGCACTGCGCAAAACAGTGAAGTTCTCGCGTTCCCTTTTCAATGATCTCCTCGGGTATTCTCCAACATGTATCTAAAGGGGCAAAGGGTCGTTAATGGTGGAAATTTTCCGTCAAGTTACCTGCAGATCATGTCTATAATTTGTCCGTTTATCTCCATACGTTTTGTTTTTTTGGTCCGCCGTGAATTTTCATTTTGAATTGTGAGGCTGAACACCGTTTGGTCTATTTTTGTGGGAGTAATTCGCCTGTCTCATTGTGAATTCAAACTTTTTCTGCAGATATATACTGCTGTTTGTCGTGTGGCAACCATTCTGCGGACGAGGTACACGGCCCCAGGATTCTGGGTCGCCGGATTGAGGCTGTTTGAAGAGGCTGAGCGTTTGGCAATCGCGTCATCAGAGAGAGAACACTTGAAGTCATGTATTGGACAGGCTCGTGGGCAACTCCATGAGCTTGAAAATCCTCAGCAGGTTCATGACCAGAATAATAGGCGTATGTAGTTGTCCATACTGCAGCCTTGCTTATTTTCCGCTTGATTGTTAAATCGATATGATTTTATTCTGCTATGAGATTGTGTTGACTTTGTTGTATGGTTTCTTTCTGCTAATCTGTCTAATGGAAAGTGCACTCGTTGTTAATGTCTGCTCTTGCCTACGTGTTTATAGGAGGGTAACACGCATCCCTGATGAGAGTGAATAGAATTCATTATGTACAGAATTTCTACATTTGAATTGATAATATTTAATTTCAGATGAAAGTTTGGGATTACGGTGCAACTTCTTCCACTCAAACCAAGCTTTTCAATAATATTCTCAATGCAACAAAAAAGGCTACATCTTTGACTAAATTGAATTTTGGACCTCCTTACATACAGTAGGCTAGATGCCCTTTCGCCAGTGAAGTGTTCAGGTTGTGCCTAGAAAATAAGTTAAAAGTAGTACATCATTCCTTATACCATGTAATATGACGGTTGTTGGCTATTCATCTTAACATGTAATATGTGAAGTGCGACTGTGCACTCTAGTTAGTCAGGTCTCATGAAACTTCAGCCCTGTCCACGTCTATGATTGTTGACCCTCTTTGTGATTCTTGTCTTTCATTTCCACTTATAATCATATCTAACTTGAGACTGTAACAATTTTGGACACCATGTTATATTTTACAATACTCGCATCACTCAGGTCACTTATACTTGTCTCCTTTTGTGATCTCTGAAGGATAAATTGTCATGAGCTTTGAAAGTTCTTACTTTTCTGCTTATATGACCTTGGAGAACACAAAATGTGCTCCTTGGGGACCTTTTATCGTTATGTGATCAGAATACTAATTGCTCTCAAGTCTGACAGGAAATATTCCATATATAAGTACTTTTTTTTTTGCAAGGTGTTTTCACTTTGTTTTTTTTTCATCTCGTACCATTTTCAACAAAAAAATCTTTGAATGCCTTTGAATGGATAACCACGTTCCCACGCTTCCACTTGAACCTCTAACCTCGGGTTTACTTCACATGTCAATCGTTCAATTTTTGGCCTTGTTTTTAATTAAAGTTGTGATGTATAGCCATCTTCTGCAGGAGATGAAACCGGTTCGGAGGTTAGACACCTGTTACAACAGTTTATCTTCAGATTGACTAGCCCTTGAACGTTAGTACTGACTGATAAACATGGGAAATTGAAACAGACTAATGGTTTTTAATTTCAGAATGTTGTTTATAAGAAAACCGGTGACAGAATATGATTGAACTGCTTTCAATATCAAATCTACGATTTATGTTCAAAAATAAAACATTTTCAAGCTTAGCATAACGTAGTGATGTTTCATGTGAATCTTTTTTTTCGCCCAGATTCAGGATATCTTTTTGAAGGTCATCTGACTGTGGGACCAGAGCCTCCACCTCCTGCATGGCTTGTTGCACAGAATGTATTGACTACTCTCGCTGCTTCACAAGATTGGAATGCTGTAGCCGAATCTTCTCGAGGCCAAAGAGATGATAATAGCAATACGGCTGATGGTTCTGGGGTGCCTGAATTCGTACAGCAGTTAATAAACAATGTCCCTGAGTTCAACTTCGAGAACCTTGAGACTGTCATTGAAGCTTCATTGCAAGTACGTCAATCCAACCGTCTTTCACTGTGTCAGTGTTAATAGCTAACATAATTTGTTAATACCCAATTTCTATCAGTGCACTGACTTCCACAATTGCATTAATTTTAAGTAAATTTCTCTGTTTTTCTTGAAGATGATATTTTTGGGAATAATTTCTAGATTGTAATGTCTAGATTGCACATTGCACCCCATTGACTTTTCCTGCCTTTTTGTTCAGAATAGCTTAAAACAATATAAATCCTTTGGAATGTTTAAGTTATTTGGCTCGGCCAATTCTAACTCGTATCAGGTATGAGAAACACAAAAAGTTTGTCAACACAGTAAACCATGTTTATTGCTGGTTAGTTGAGAAATAATTGATCATGTTATCTGAGCTGGATGTATCTTTTTGGGTTTCACAATTAAATCACTCTGTAAGCCATTGTTGCTATCTGCAACAAGAATACGAACCTCAACAAGAAGCCTCAAAAACCAAATATTATCAGCATCTTACTCACGTGATTTTCAAAACGAAAAATTCCAATTCCGTTTGTATGAATCAGCATTCCCCACAATCTCGCACCATGACTTGAAGCTATCTGTGAAAGGCTCACTTGGATATCAGCAATTTCAGTTGTAGGAATTCATCTCGGCCAGCATTAAAAGCTGCCACTTCCCATGGAAATTTTAGAAAATGCAACTTTCCACAATTGTATATTTAGGTTCACCCACGTTGGATTTCTTTCTAGTATTTCCACGTTGGCAACCTGTTATTATATGCGTCACATTAGTAGCTTCCATTAATCTTGACCGAACCAGGTCAAGTAGTAAGCCGGGGCTGTGTGTGCAGGAAATTGGAGCAGGACCACGGAGACAGCCAGCAGCCTCCAAGGAAGTTGTAGCCAATCTTCCTATCATCAACGTCACCCATGAGATAATAGCCAGGTTGGGACGTGACACAGAGTGCGCTGTATGCAGAGAGAATCTGGTCATAGATGACAGCATGCAGGAGCTACCGTGCAATCACTTGTTCCACCCTGCCTGTCTGAAGCCATGGCTGGTAAATTCCTTTCCATATTCAGAGGCATACAGCTAAATTCGGAGCAATTCCAGTTTAATCCCCAAAATGTTTATAACTTCACCGCAAGATTTCTTTTATTCAGTTAGTTATTTTTCTACTTCGGGTGAAGCAAGATCTTATCGATTGAAAAACTTTAATCTGTACCTTTCATCTCTTTTTCAATGCAGGATGAGCACAACTCTTGTCCAATCTGCAGGCACGAACTACAAACAGACGATCATGAGTACGAGAGCCAGAAGGAGAGGGAGAAGGAAGCGGAAGAGGAGAGGAAAGGCGCAGAAAATGCTCTCCGCGGCGGGGAGTACATGTATGTTTAATGTCACAGTGAACTTGATTTAAATGGCTTCTCGTGGCGTCTGATTCATAGGTCCTGCTGGGCACATGCTGTGATGTTTACTGTCTAATAGATGGAATAAGGCTATGTATTTCAACACATATACATATAGAAAGAGTGCATTGCGCCGCATTTACCCCATTTCTGCTCCAAACATGAAGAATATATGCTGGAGTCTCCATTTAACTGAGCAGTTGACCTGAGCAATCATTGGGGGTCAATGAACCTGGCATTGCCATGTGGCTCGGGTTTTTTTCCTCCTGAAGGCATCGAGAGGAACAAAAAAAGAAAGAAAGAGGCCTTTCTAAGACTGGAAACTTTCCCTGACCCTGGTCTGAAGCTCATGTTTCAGGTTTGTTTCCACTATTATGGATGTTGATGGAAGGGCAGAGATGAGAGAAAGTGAGAAAGAAAGCTTGCCTACCTCCTCTCTCTCTCTCTCTCTCTCTCTCTCTCTCTCTCTCTCTCTCTCTCTAGATATATTTAGATACATAAAGAGGGAGTTTCAGGCTTGTGCCTTAAGCTTCTTTATAATATGGAGCACACCTACTATTGGAAATGGTAAATCTTAAAGGAATAAGGTAAATATTGGCCACTAGTTATTCAACATTGGTTAGGTCACTGCCCAATTTTTAATATTACACTGCCCCTTGGATCTTACACGATTCTTATCAAACCCCCAGGAATAAAAATATCACTGTTTCCACCTTAGCCTTCTGCAAAATATGAAGCACACACGTGTACCATGTCAGAACCGTGATACATTATTATCCCTTCTCATCTTCTTATTGTGTTTGAACACCATTATTCATTGAGGGTCATGGCTTGTGCAGTAAATAGCGATCTATATGCCTCTTTATTGCTTTAAATGCCCACTGGGCTTCTTGGTCTTGAACGTTGACCGCCCAATTTTCCTCCCCCTCCCTCTCCTCTTCCTCACTGTATGTAGCCCATGATCGTTATTGCATGATTCACTTGACTGGTGCAAGTATCTTCAAAAACACCCTGAAAATACATCAAAAAAAGTCAACGTGTATGAGTCAACATGTAAATCAGTTCAAGAGGAAATTTTAATTAAACTAGTATTTCCATAAAATGAATATTTATCTGGGTAAATCGATAATTAATTCATTCTTGGTAATTAAGGATTTTTCATACTGCGTATCATCATTTTAAGGGACAAGTGATTAAATAGACCCCTTTAAGATAATGTTGACTCAGATCATTCATCTTCCATTTTAAGATAATGTTGGAATATTAAACGTGTAACACTTTTCAAATATGTGTACTTGTTAGGAAATTCGCATACTTCTCTAATATTATGAATTAAATGCATAAAAATACACGAGTGAAACTTAGATATGAGTGTACTAATCTCATCCCAATGCAATGTTGGCGTATCCTTGATTTGGCATATGTAGAAGAAGTAATGTGCTGTCTACCCACGGCTACTTTTAATTATCTCCCATTATTACTCAAAAACCTTTTAAAATCCATCAATGGTGACCACTTGGTCCTTGAATTGTGTGAAGAAAATAATGAATAAGTAGGGAAGAATAAGTACCCTTTTTAGTCAAGGATCGCCAAAAATCAATGTCAATAATGTCATTACGTAATGTGTATTGATAAGTTCTACTGGCGCAACCATGTTTGCAAATGTGCTAGACATCACAATCCACTAATTATTCTTGTTCATAAACAGTAATTATATTACCAATGACCTCACAGTGAACACCCACAAAAACGCTTTTAATAGAAATATAATAAATTAAAAAAATCACCCACTATGTTTGGAAATTTTCCTCATAACAAGGAAATTATTTTATTTATCATAAGTTGTTGTCGTTGATGTTGTTAAAAACTCAATGCTAAAAGAGTAAACAAGCTATGATGTGTATGCTTATCCAATAAATCACTAATACAAAAATCAAAAAACTCTAGCACTCCTCCAAAGTATTGAAATAAGTATAATATATAATAAAAGTATACATTAGATAATTAAAGCACTTTCACAAACTATACTCACAATGCTCCGGAAAGGTTCTTTAGAATTCCTTCTTTAAAAAGGTATTATCTTGGAAAGTTGCATCGCTAGGAAAAACCATGAAAGTAAAATCAATTCTGAACTATTTAACTAATCGAGGCAATTAGTTTCATTTGGTTGATATAAGATGAACACCCGTTATAGAAATATTGAAAAAGAGAAAATGGTAAGAATATTCTTTTACCACATCCACCTGAGATATTTTTACTTCACTAACGGCATCATTATCCCTCTAATCCCATAAACGTTCTTGCCTAAAATTAAGGAGCGACTTGCCGTGATTCACCTCCCATTCTTGAAACAGCCCTCACACGAAGGCGCCATTAACCTTGCCGTAAAAGGGAAGGGAAGGGAAGGGAAGGGAATGGGAGGGAAGAAAGTAGGAATCATCATTGCCCCGAACTTCGGAAAATACAGCTCTTTCGTCGCCATACACCCCCATCTCACAACTTCCTTCTCTGCGAACTTCTCAGAAAAACTGTACCACACCTTCGCCTGGACCTGATGAACTTCCCACGTAATAATTAACGAGGAGCTAATACACGAGCCAACCCACAGAGAGGTAGAGAGAGATAGAGAGAGAAAGAGCGAGATAGAGAGAGAAGGGTCGGATTAAAGATGCTGCGGCACGGCGGATTCCTGAGAAAACCCATTGGCCATCTTCAGGGATTTCCTCTTGTGGTTCGCCAAGCTGCAGTGGGGGCAGATGTACTCCAGCCCGTCCATCTTGGCGTAGTCCTGCCAAAGAAAGGAGACGGGCGTTAACTTTGCTCCAGTGGCAAAGGAAGAGGGAGAAGAGACATGGCGGCGGATGAATGGGGGTGTGGGGGGGTACCTTGAAGGCGCCAAGGCCCTGCCTCTTGTCACAGCCGAAGTGGGCCCACTCGCCACAAAGCCCGCAGTTGACCCAGTCGCCGGCCTCGCTACTGCGGAAGGTTAAAAGGGAAAGTCCACCGTAAGGGGGGGGGGGCGATCTCCAGAGCGCCGCCAAATATAGAACTTTAACAAGAAGAGAAAGGAACCTGTGGCACAGAAGGCAGCATTCACCGTCGACGTCATCATGGGCTAACTCGTACTCCAAGAGATAGGTCTCATAGTGCCTCTTCAGCGTGTTGCCGACGCCCTGAAGCAAAAAGGGAGAAGCCGCATTAATGGCGGGACGAAGCTCCAGTTCAATCCCTCATTGCTAATCAGTGACACAGATCATTACTTATAATGATTGCCCAATTGGGTAAAACTGAAGACTTGCTGCTGAATTCTACCACACAGAGAGAAAGACAGAGAGAGAGAGTTAATATATGGGGGTGTGTAGATGAAGAACATACGGTCATTTTGTTGGTCATCGTATGGTTCCGCATCTTAGAAAACACCTGCCCCTTCCAATTAATGCCATTCCCAACGTGAAAGCCGCCCCTTGAAACGACCTGAGAAGAATGGGCCATGAGTTGACTTTCTCAGCATCGAAGGTAAAAAAAAGGAAGGGTAAACGGGCCTGACCTCTCTGTACAAATTATACAGGTCCAGGCGCTTTGCATTGAGAATAGCATCAGGAAATTCCGATATCCCACCCTGGGGGACGAGCCGATTGTGGCCCCTAAGGAGGAGGAACTGCATCACATCCATCAAGAATTCTTCCTGCCAGAAAAACCCATCACTAGGAAGTTAAAAGGAAGATCGGAGGGAAGAAGACGAAGGATCATGCAGACCATTCTGACTGAAACACAAGTCGACTGGCTGGTGTAGCTTACTTCGGAGCACGCATGGATAGGAGCTCGACCACATCCATGCTTCTTCAGAGGAAGCGGATTCAGAGAGATTATCTGCTGGGCATGGAAGGAGCTTGACAGGGATCTCCGGTGAGAAATCGCAGGAGGCATGAGGCTATGCTTTGCAATGGGAACAGCGTGCAAGCTGCTCTTCGCCTGGCTTCTATCACCGGTGTCGGCCATTGGCGGCACCGACAAGGGCAGGGCCTTCTGCCGCCGAGCGTAGGGGATGGGCCTCATGGCAGGCACTTTCGGTCTATGTCTGACCCTCATCAAGGGCATCATCCTGGACCCTCCTCCAAGGAGAGCCCTCCCCCTGCTGCCATCTTCCGCAAGTTTAAAGTCAACCCCTCCATTCGCATCAACCCTATTGCCGGAAGTGGGAAATTTCACCCCTTGGGTTGACCTGGGTCTCTTCCGGGTGGGTGCCGGCGGTTTAAACCAGGCCGGCAGGCCAGAAGAAGCATTGTCAACCTGGATAGGCAGCTCCTTCGCCGGTCTGGCACAGAAGAAAAGAAGCCGCTCCGCATCTTCTCTCTCAAATGAAGCCACTGAAGATCCTTGGATGCTAGCGATGCCAAGTGCCACCAAACTTCGATAAGAAAGTTGGGGCGCCAGCTGCTTCAACACCTAGAGAAACCCATGCTAAAATTAGTATCCATAGACTAAATGAAATCACATAAACCCATTCCAAGTTCTTAATCTTCTACTAGCATGTAAGTTAGATGCTCAAAATCACAATTAGAGCAAACAGATGCATGATCTTCTATGACCCAGAATATTTTTGCTATTTTTCTTTAAAAGGCATCAACGTGAGACTCTTCATCATGTATACATTCTTCAAGGGGTCGTGGGGGAACAAGATAAAAAACGTCATATTATCGAGTATAGATGAGATTTTAATGCATCGATGATAAATTCCAGGCACGTGGATTACAATGATGACCCTGAAGACGAATTTCTACAAGGTTTCATATGCGAGTATCTAAATATTTCGTCAACAGTTACCAGAAACAGAATGAAAAGCAGCCATTTTCCCTTGAATACTAAAGACGAGAAGGCCACCTGGGCAGCCCAAGAAGGAATCTTCATGCGGACTTCAAAAGCTGACGATCCACAAGCTATTGAAGAAGACTTCCTCGGGTCAGATGAGCTCGACTGGCTCCCCTCACAGGTCGGAAGGGCATGGACTGGCGGGCTCTTCTCAATGAGCTCATTCTTTATGTGGGACTCCAAAAGCTGCAATGTTGACAAAACTTGACCGTCAGCACAACTTGCCCACCCAGGCAGAGGCCCGAGAAAGTCGAACCTCGAGCACTTACCTGGTCATCAAAGCAAGCCTCTGCACTGCCCGAGACCAAGAGGGAGATGTGAGACGAGCTGCAGGTGGTCAAGTCGCATCTCATTGTCACCACCCCTCTAGCAAATGTTCCAGCTTGCAGAGGCGGAGGCGCAGCGCTGTCAAATCATCCAATGATGGCCCGTTAGTTTTCTCTTTCGCAATTTTTTGCAGAAGAAAAATCCATAATTGTAAAATAAAAGTCAATCTTTAAATAGATTGTGGGGAAGGAGCAATCATAATAAATACATATTATTTGACTACCACTGCCCCTTCAAATTGGATTCATTATTACCCAGTTAAGCATGTATCTTTCCATAGAGACATGGGCTCCATGCTTCAGTCACTCAAATGAGGAAGGAATTTATTTTTTTCATGGGACAATTGAAAAAAAAATAGAAAACGCAATGCATATATCTTAAAGTTGGGTCATATGGGCAGTAAAAATCTCATATTTATTTATTCGAAAGGAAGATAGAAGCAGGGAATGACCGATTCAAACTGCATCATGAAAAAAACATAAGCGTGATGTCAAAATATACCTGACTCGATTTTGGAGCTTGCTTCCACGGATCTGAAAAGAGAATCGAGAGAATAAGCAAATGCTGAAGAGTACTTTCATAAAAGAAGGATGAACAGGGCTCGAAGCTTTGACGGGAACACAGTTGAAAGAGCAAACCCCCACCCCCCCCCCCCCAAAAAAAAAGAAAAAAAACCTTGAATGCATTATAGGAAAGAAAAAACAGCGAAAGTTCAATCATTGAAGACAAAAAAAACGGCATATGCCCGGATCTTAGGAAGTAGATACACCAACTCCACCCTTCCCTCAATCCACACTCTCGAGGGAGAATCTGTCAGGCAAAATTAGCCAAAAATCGGAATTGAATACCAAAAATAGGTGGCACCCAGATTGTCCTCTCCGAAGGCCATTGCTAAGACGTTCAAAACACTTTCACAGGGTTTCATTTCTGGAAGAACAGACGGTTCAGTGGACTGGGGATAGTCTTCTTAACGCAGTGGGCACGGAAAAAAAAAAGGCTTGCCACAGAAATCACGGAGGATGACAGAATTTAGTAAAGGAATAGAACCACATTCATCCATCTCACATCATGCTCACCTCTATGTTCAAAAGGGCATTGAGGCCATCCTCCAAAGAACCCAATACACACGCATCCTTGAACACAGTAACAAGAGGCATTTAGACTCACAAACAGGCAAAAGGGATCCCAAAAGACATGAAAACATATAGATATATAAATATGAGCACTGACCAGTGTGCATGGGACTCCACAGATGAGAAAACCCACGTCGACATCATCATCGTACACTTTGATGATGGGAAGAGTGTCAGATGAACCTTCTTCTTCACCTTGATACCTCTCTGGAGGCGCGATGTGGATCTTTGGCACATCCCCGAGCAAGCAGGGCTCAACCTTACCACCAACGTTTTGGCTTCCAGCTCCTGTAACATGGTTGTTCCTTGTGCAGTAGAGCCTAAAGGTCGCATGCGCAAGCTGAAACGCGTCCCAAGTATGGCTGCATGAACTGCATCCATAGAAAGGCATGCAATCAGGGTCATGGTTTCATTCGCGAGTCGTAGTGTCCAAAAGACTAAGATCTGTACCTCTGCACAACTGAGAAGAGCGCATGGCGAAAGTGTGATGCGGCATAGGATGAGAAAGTATTCTTCCAAAAAATCACGTAAGGGATCCCCTGAAAAATAAAAAAGAACTTTCAATACAAATGAAAATATTAGATGTCAACTTTTTTCTACTTTAAATACCTGATTTCAAAGTGTTGTACCCTTCAATATACTAAAATAAAATGTTCCTTGAAATTAAATATTTTAAACTTAATCTCAGCACATCGTTGATGCTTTAAGATAAATTTTTATCTAGAAAATACTCAAATATAGAACACAAGGGCAAGGGTATTACAGGTAATTAGAAGACAAGGATGAAGATCCACCATGGGTAATTGGTTCTATGAAATCAGTGAACCCATTTGCAGGTAGAGGGAAAAGGACACAAGTATATATTTTATACACCCACAAATTTTTTGGACTTCCTACACAACCAAAACCTGATTTCGTTACAATTAATAATGTTACATTTTATTTCATAATAAACAGAACCAGAAATTAGTTGCCCCCATTCCTAGTGGCATTCGTAGTCTTTGGGAACTAAAATGATAGTCATTGCTTTCAACCCTTCAGAATCTCTCTAGCATTAAATACGAAGAAATTTACTTACCAAACGTTTAAAAACATAAAAAAATGGACGGGATATTGTTCTTTAACAAGGGCACAATGAATCCCTAAAACATATACCGGTGAATGTATCAACTTTTCTACTTCCAGGAATTCATTCTTTACAACCAGTTATAATCATCTTCAGTAATCAGTAATATGTGTACTACCTTTGAGTGAAGAGCCTCTGCAACTTTTTCACCATTGGGAACCTCCAAATAAACCTAAACATCGATTTTTATAGTGAGTAAACAGGAACAGAATATTATAATAAATATTAACCAAAGATGCAAAAATATCCTGACGAAAAAATCATACACAACACAGGATGATATTAAATTAGACGTTATAAAATAAACCGAGAATAACAGAGCATAGCGACAGAAGTGTATATTTCTCAAATGCCCCACACTTTTCAGGTGTATCTTTCTCTTAGACGATTGCTTGTTCACAGAGATGCAATGCTCTAAATACTAGCACATAAAAGTTTAAAAATCCTATTAGTATTGAATATTGCCTATTTTATTTTTAAAAATAGGTTTTAAAATAAAACCAATATATGAAAGATAAAAGCTGGGCCCTAATCACGACAATAACGTCAAGTGGCGCTAATTTAAAAACTAAATTAAGTAATAAGTATGACTTCATATGACGCATATAGGATACAGAGAGCGAAGGCATGAAGTCCCTCACAAACATATGGGACTTCGTAGTGATAAATTAATCAAAGAGTAACAGCAAAAGATGCAAGATTGAAGCAAACTTTATGCAGCAAGCTCAGCTATCTACTGGTGTAAAAAAAATAGCTGCAGAAATAACTTCTTCAGCTAGACCCAAATACATGCTAAAGAGAACACAACCCAATAGATAAGAATTTGAAGTGTATATATATATATATCTATATATATATATAAATATGAAATCGACTTAAAATGTCAATGACTTACAATGGTGGCAAATGGAGGAGTGATTAGAGGGCAAAGTGCCGATGGGTCCCACATGTTGTTGCCATCCCAAACGAGGGAGCCGATCTCCTCCTCGTTTTCAAGGCGCTCCCCCTGAAAGTAGATGATGTTTGGGTCCGTCGACTTGAGAACTTCCCGGAATCTGTCGACTGTAGGATTGGTGATCGTGTGAACCTGCATTGACAAGGCGATGAAACTCATCAATGGGATCCGATTAGGTTATCCGAAAGGGAAGATCCAGAACAACAAAACCCATATTCCCGGCATTGCAAATCTCAAAGAATCAGAGGGCAGCTTCACTCAATTAGCCTCCTCGATGGGTAGCTGGAAATTTGTATCAGACAAAAATTTCATAGTCACCTCTAGGCGCCCAGCTGAGGTGAGCTCGGGGAAGGGATACGTTGACCTCCGCTTGACGCCGTCCCTTGGCTCGTCAGCCATCTTCCCGCATAGCACTGCAAGGAGGGTACAGTTCTGCTTCGAGAGGCCATGAGCATGGAACATCTTCCCCACATAACACCAGGACCTGCGACGCTGAGCTTTGGACGACCGCAGAGGCTAGATTCACACCAAGTCCCCAGAGATTTCCCCAAAACCGGAGAAACCCACGAGACAGAAACCCTTCCCAAGATCCGACCTCCGCAGGCCCCAACAAGGGAGGGTCCCTTAAAATCGACCCCGAATTCCTCCCATCGTGAGAAAAAACGGCGACCTAGATGAGGGAACGCCTTCTTCCGAGACCCTGTGCCCGAGCTGCCACAAGGTGTTGAGAAGAAAGCGAGCTCCAAAAATCCAGAAAGGGAAGAGGAAAGAGGGGGAGGGTGAGAGGGAGAGGAGGAGGAGGAACGAAGAGACAAGAACAAGAAGAAAAAGAGTAAAGTCGACAATAACCAGGGAACCCTAACACGTTCCCCAGCTGCTCGTTAAAAATCACAAACCAGAAAGGAAAGAGAGGAAGAAAAATTCCTCGAAATAAATTAATAGAGAATAATCTTCGAGAAAGGTGAGGGGAGCATTAGCTTGTTTCCCTTCCTACCCTCCCAGAAGCCGCGCCTCCCCCCCTTCTCGCAACCCTCGATCTACCGATCGTCCATCATCATCCAACTCCGCATCTCGTCCACTATTCATGCATCCCATCTACCGACGAAAAGAATAACATGAACGCGGATCCGAAGAAACAAAGACCGTAATTAATAAAACAAGGCCCCCCCTTTTCTATTTATTTCGAACGGCGACGAATGGGTTCGCAGATGTGCGGACGTTTGCGTAAACCCTCCACCACGAGCCCATGAGTCGAAGGGGAACAAGAGAGAGAGAGGAGAGAGAGCGGTAAGAATAGGAACGGAAGATGATCGGGAAAAGCTTTCCATTGACGGAACGAGAGTCGGGAACCCAAAACCCAGTCGCGAAATCCAAAAATATCCTCAGAAGTTTAAAAGAGCGGATTAGACGTCACATGCTTAGAGAGGGAGAGGCGCGGGGCAGCGGAATGGTATCGGAACCACGGGGGGCCATCAGGAGATTTGCCGGGAAATAACCAAAATAGGGTTCTACGGGCATCATTGAGAAGGGTCTCCCGCAGTTATTATCGCCGTATTTATTAGTCCCGGGTATGGGATTTTTGGCCCTTTCCCAGCAGCGCCTTCGTCTCCGAGCAGGATCGTATCGGGACTCCTGCAACGAATCAGGAAGAAGAGACTGAAGAAAAAAAAAGAGCAGGCGAAGCCAAGAGCACATCTTTTTGACCCAAAGCGGCAGAAACCTCTACGATCTTGACATGGACTCATCCCCCCTCCGCCTCTCCCTCTCTCTCTCTCTCCCCTCTTTCTCTCTCTAATCTGTGGCCCTCGGCAGCGAGCGTTGACTGAGCGTTACCAGGTAGACTGGGGGCGTGAGCCAGGCGGTATCGCGGGGTGACAATAGCACATTTATGTGATTTTCCTTTTGCATACAACTCCCCAAGAAAGTATCAAAGTGATATTTACTCCCCACGTCCACTGTGCTACCACGCCCTGCTTACCAGTCACACCACACATAACACAGTTTTTATGAGAAAAAGGCCCCAAGGATGGATGAAGGAAAAAATATTATTTATATATCTATATATATATATATATTTAAAGAATACTATTTATATATATACATATCTTTATCAGATATAGCAAGGTTATGCAAAGTATTGCTCGCATGTAGCTAAATTAGGGTAAAGTTTCAGTCTAATGTCCGAATATTAATAAAAGAGCTGATTTTTAATATATATAGATATTTCTCATAGGTGCCTTGTAGTCAAGATGTGTGGAGGCAATCACGGCCGTCCAATTGATGAGGTTTTTTCTTTAAAGGAGGTAAAAACACAGTCGATGGTGATTCTAGGAGCAGGAAAACCTAAAGACGGAGGGCGGGGACAGCGGCGGGGGATGGGCGGGTATGGGGAAGCAGAGGCGGAGGATCTGTCGGCTTCGTCTACCTTGGTCCACTTCGACCGTCCGTTGCCTCTCCTGAGGGTGCCTCTGCTCGCCGGCGCCTCCGATGATCCCTCTGCTGGCCCCTTCGTGCTTGCTTTCCGGGACGCCGACTCGTGGAGAGCCGCATTTCGGAGCACTGAGGCCAGGGTGGTCGAACAATGCGAGGTCTCCATCTCTCCCCTGTTCCGTGTTTCAATCTGTTTTTGGTTCTGGAGGACGGAGGGTAGGGTTTATCACTTCTGTGAAATTCTGGGAAAGGGTGATCAGAGTTAGTATGATTTCAGTTTTGGGGAAGAACAAGGCTGGATGGGTTATATAGAGCACGAAGTCCACCTGGTCTTCAGCGTTCGGTACTCCCATGGTTTTTGAGTGAAGAGCTTGTGATCCGTGGTCTTTACCCGCAGCTGGCCGAGCTGGCTGGCTGGAGCTTTCGCCAGGCAGTAAGTTAATCAGCGGCGCAAATCAAGTTGAGCTAAAAACCAGCTTCCGGCTGCTTAGTCTGAGCCACTGGAATTGATGGTGCTCCACATATCCCATTATATCAGCCCTTTGCCTGGAGAAGCTGCGTTAATTCATGACATGATCTTTCATAGGCCGCTGACCCACTGTTCATATGCTCGATGATCCATATTTACCCCATCGATGGGTTCCTCTCTCTAGAATTTTTTTTTTTCTATCTTTTCTAGTTTTCTCTACCAAGAACAGCTTTTTGCAGAAGTATCCGTTGACTCATTCGTCCTAATCCACCCACCCAAAGCTAAGATAATGCCAGCCGATGATAACACCGCTTGAGCAGATCTTTGATGTTCTTTTTTTTTGGTTTGAGCTGCTAATATTTTTTTCTTGCACAATCAGACTGCAAATGGTATGTGACCTCTGTTTGCTAAAGCCAGGCTGGGGCGCGGGTTGGGTGCTCCCTCAGTGCATCAAAGAAGTGCAGTCCTCCCTGGTGGAAGACCCTGCTGGGCCTCAGCAGCGTTGACTTTGCTGAGAGGGAGAAGTGCGAAGAGCGTGAGATGGCGGCCTGCCTTGAGGCTTCCAGGGGGCCCTGCTCTCGCTTTGCCAGGGAGAAGTGCTTGCCTGCCTTCAGAGATGCGAGGATCTCTTCTGTAGGTCCCACCGGGTTTCCACAATTGGGATCTGAGAACCCGAAGCTGGAACCCATTGACCAGACCAACTACAGGGGAAGTGCCCTTTTGGAGGAGATATTCACAGAGATCGTCTCGAGCAGGAGCTAGCTCGAAGATTCTGGATCCACCTCTCCTGGGCTTCTCATGGCTTCTTCTCCCATTTGATGTGGGCTGGAGGAGGCTGTTCTGAGTATTTATGGGCTGAAATCATTGCTTGATGTGAATTTATGTCAGCTGAAGCCATTCCGAATGACTTCCCTCCTGCTGGAGTCATCACTAAATCCCTGTAAGATATATAATGAGACATCTAGACTCATTGGGGTCACTCCGCTTCCCCTTTCTTTATCTGCCTTGGTGGCTCTTCTCTGGTTCTAGCTTTAAAAGGGTTGAAAGATTCTCCTCTTGAATCGAAAAATCAGTGATTAATTGCCTCCCTAGGACCATTTTTTTTGGGTTGGTTTATGGTTAAGTTATTATCGATAATATTACTAATCTCCAACCTTATATATGGGTTAATATTTTCTACCAGACTCTCTTCTGAAATAAGTAGAAATAAAATTTTAAATTATTTTATCTAATTATTGATTCATATAGGTAAGTTTTAAGGGACAACTTAGAATTAAAAAAATGAAGCTGTAAAATAAATCACACACGATCTATATAATTTATTTAATTTGGCGAGGTTCTTGAAGTTCATCAGGTGGGGTGAAGAACACGCCATCTACGGTTCAGATTGGTGGGATCTTTTTTTTCTGTCTCTGCTATTAGATGTAATAGTATGAAAGTCGTTTTATTTCCTAATTTATTTCATGATATCAGCCCACCCCCACCCAGGTGAGAAATAATTTACTTGTACTATATAAAAATTAGGGTTTAATCTTCATTAATATTCCACGTATACTAACAAAAGTATTTTTCATGGCAATCTGCGGTTTATGATTCCTGATTTTTTCCCTTGATATCAACTCGGGCTACCGTGAGAGAAAAGTTAGAATATTATCAAAATTAGGGTGTTATTTTCGTTTATGGTCCACGTGTACGGCTCTGATTGGTTGCCGGTGTGTCTCCGTTCGTGGTTTTTTCTACTAGCGGGGTTTCCCTTGCTGTTTGAAGGCGCCACTGTCGAAGCTCGACCAGGGGCTTCGGCTGCGCGTGAAGTCCCGGCATAGACGGATCTGGTGGTTCCCCTCGTCGTCTTCCCCGTCTAATGGCGGCGGCGGCGGCCGCGAGGCCGGGAGGGGCAGGGGCGCCGCAGCAGCTGGTCAAGTCGGGAGCCGTCTCAAGGGGATACAATTTTGCCTCCACTTGGGAACAGGTGAGCGACCGTCTCCTTTCCCAGGCGGATGTGTCGAGAATTTTTTTCGTTTGTGCTTCTGTCTTCTGCCGGAACTCGTGGTCTTCAATCGGATCCTGGTGGAAAGAATATGTGTCGGTGATCTGTTGTCTGCTACGTGGAGCGGTGAGATCCGAGACAATTCAGAGTGAATGGGAAAGATTGAGAAAAGATAAACTTGCGCGGACGGATGGTGTTGCTTAGACGCATCTCTCTTTGAATGGTGAGATCAGTCCATGGTAGGAGCTGGATTGAGAGGCTTGTATCCTTTTTTCAATTTAGCCAGAGTTTTGTAACTTCTGCTGGATGTGGAGGTTCGATGTAGAGAAAATTCTACATCGAACCTCCACATTGTAACTTTCAGAAACAGCTCTCGGTAACAAAATGACGGCACGAAGATTAAGACATCAACATTGTATCACGACAATTTGTATCTTGATCATGTGACTATTTCATACCTTTTTTCGTCCTTCATGCTGTTAAAATTCCATTATATTTTTTTTATCATCAAATATAACATTCTGCTTTTTCCAACTTGTTCTTTGTCTTTCTGGTAATTAAACGGAAATATTATTTTTCAATCATCTTTTTACAGAATGCTCCATTAACAGAGCAACAGCAAACAACGATTATATCACTATCTCACGCTATTGCTGAGCGTCCCTTCCCAGAGAAACTGGTAAGGCCATGCAGAAGTTCAGCCTGTCTAGGTTGAATGATTTTTCTTTATTTCGAGGTTCTTCTCTTCCAAAAATTCGACTGATTTTTTTTTCTTAATAGTGCTTTGATTTTTGAGCCGTAGATGACTTGAATTTTTTGATTCATTAATAAAGAGTACTGGTTGCATTATTGACGATTTATTAATAATTAATGCAGTCCCAAGAGCAGACCACGGGAGACACTAATAATTTGTCTGGCTCCCCCAGCAATGGAACTTCAGAAGATTCTGGTGCTATAGATGCAGTTTTAGTCAGCACTCATGAGGTTTGTTAGAAAATTTAATATTAACTAGGATAACTTTATACTTTATAAGACCATACAAGTTAGTCAAAGTTAGACATTGTAGGCATGCATCTTCCAGTTAGAGATAATGAAAATTTTGTTTCACTTTCCTTGCTCAAGTTTTTATGCTAAAACTACCCAGCAGCAATGCTGTATCCGTTTTATTACATATGGCTTCCTTTTCAATATCAATGTGACATGGTTGAAGGATTTATTTAATTAGGTGTATCCATTTTAATGCCATTTACTCGCCCTTTTCAGAAGTAATGATTAGTCATAATGATGTGAAGATGGATAGTGAGATCATGCTTTAGTTGGTATGAGGAAAGCTTAGGATGAAACAGTTTTGGCGGAGAGAAATGAGTTGGGGATCCCTCATCTCTTGGTGATTGTGTCTGAGGATGCTCTGACTCAACAGTTGGCAACCGTTCCTGATGGCTTGGATGGAGTGCCCGCTGTACAATATGGAGGATGATATTTGTGTTTTTGAAAGTGGACAGTTCTGCGAAATTCATAAGGTCAAAAACATGAGATACAAGGCTATACATTGTATAGTCAACTCTCGAAATGCTATCAATTGTTACACAGAAGTTGGAGACAAAATCTATGTTCTCAAAGCAGTCAAAATGGAAGAATCACGTCCTTGTTCGCCACAAAATCACTTGTGCATTAGTTTACCCTTGAGAATATAAGGATAAATACGTTATCATTAGACTAATACCTGTGTCTAAATCTGATGTTTCATTGAGGAATGATGAGAAGTCATTGTACAATGTATTTCGGAATTTTTTGTGTATATTTCTGGGCAGCTTTTCCTCTATTCCTTGTGTAGTTTCCTTCTCTACCAAGATTATTCCGTGTGATCCTCAGTTTGTGTTACTCCGTATAATTTTGTATAATGCGTGGTGTTGGCAAGATCCTCCTAAAATTAACATGAAACAAGTGTATCTTCCTGTTTGCTCATTCTGGAGGTTCGTGATTACCTCACTTTTCCCACCATCATGATTTGCTTAAGTGCTTTTACATGTGATATCATGCAAACATTTTAACAATTTCATAAAGTAAGTTGTCTGGTGGGTTTTCTCTTTTTACTCAAGCGTCTTTTAAATTTCCAAAAGAGTGAAGATAAACCGTTCATAGTTTTTTGATACAACATGGTACAGCATTGCTCATTATTTTTGATATACCTTGCAGTTCTACAAATGGTTCACAGACTTGGAATCTATAATGAAGTCAGAGGTTTGTAGATTAAAAAAAATGTTTTTAAACTAATGTTTAGGATGACCAGCATGGTTCACAAATACTGATTGTTTTCCTTTTCTACTTACAGACGGAGGAAAAGTATTGTCATTATGTGAATACATTGACTGAACGCATGGAGATATGTGATGGAATTCTCCATCGGGTATGGTGTCCTCTATTCCCTAATCTATATGTGCCGGTTTCTGTCTGAATTTCATAAACCTGGTTGAGTCGATATGCAAATTTACCTGTTCGTAATTCGTTACACTTTTCATCACATTGACGGGAGTAACTTTGGCATGCAGGTGGATGACACTCTCAATCTATTTGATGAATTGCAACTGCAGCACCAGGCAGTTGCGACAAAAACTAGATCACTACATGATGCATGTGACCGACTAGTACGTTTTATACATTGTTCAAGCTAGACATTATATTTCTTCGTTTTTTCTGTAAAAGTTCTAGTTTCCAAAGATCAGTACATGTTTCAGACTCTTGTAATCTTATTTAGCTAAACAAGGGAGGTCCTTTGTAATCCCTATTTATCTATTGGATTGTCTTTTTTGGTTGATATGATGACGTGAAGTTGAAGAACAGATAATTATCGCTTTTTACAAACTTTTTTGGTCCTCTTTGGAGCATCAAGTCTCTCATCCTGTAAAATATTAGTTTCCGATGTTTTTGCTAGGTTTCATCTATCATCATCTTTACAGAGTAATTGGCGAATCTCAGTTCTTGTAGCAAAGGTCCACCCTGCCTCATGCTAAGGAAAGAATCGTTATACTAGAGCAACACAAGCAGATAACAGTCATCAGAATCAATATAACTTTTATAATGTTGCTGGAATATTTTGCTTCTTACACTTTTATAATCGGACAAGGCTTGTCTGGAGAAAAACTTGGGATATTCTATTAATAATGTTGTTGGCTTGTGGGGTTAAAATAACACGAGGATGTTTTTACATTACATGCCTTTTTATTTCGACAATGAACGAAAGCAATTTGCTACTTTCCAAGGACACTTTGTTGACTCTATGAACTTTGTTGTTGCTTTCACATTCGCTGACTCTATGAGGATAAGGAATTTTTTTTGACCTTCGGTGACTAATGGAACTTGTCGTGTATTCAAGCCAGGGAAAATAATACATCTGTACTATATCGTTCAGACCAGACAGACCTTGTCTGACCTACATAAACAAGCGTCTTGCGCCCACACTCTTGGCACTTTAAGAGTACAACAGTATTGAAGAAGGAAATGGGGAGAAAGTGAAGTTGAGAGAAGATGCAAGGGCAAAAGCTTGTATCTGTCAGAAAAGTTCACTAGGAATGGGGGCATGTGATGCCCACGGTGCATTGCTGACGGAAATCGTATTTATTATTCAATTAATACTTTATGTATCAGGGATTTGTCTGATGTCTCTTTCTCTCTCCCTCTCTCCCTCCCTCTCTCTCTCTCTCTCTCTCTCTCTCATACACACACACACACACACTGTGATCTCTTCGTTATCCCTTTCTTGTCTCTATTTTCTCTATAAAAAAAAATTCCTTATCTTTTTCCATTTCCTCATGAATCTTCGCATCAAGAAATTCGTTCCTGATCCTCTATGTTTGTGATATGTGTAATAATCGGTTATGGGCAGTTCAGATCTTGACCCTGATCCCTCTGTCCTGTCATGAGAGACCTGCTACTACATCATGGTCTCTCTTTTGCAAATGCCTACTTTCAAAGTGTATCCTAATTAAAAAGAATTTTAAAGATTGTATGGCTCGAGTGTGAAGATCTTCAAAACATAATTCTACTACTACTTATGCAGGCCGTTTAACAGTTCGTTTTTGTGGTTTTATTTTTCATGAGAAACTTGGAATTTTCCCTCCTTTGGTTAGCATATCCTAGTAGTGTCATCAAAATTTTGTGCCTTTTTTGTAAATATTTCATATTCTTAGTTATGCTGATTATGTTGTTCTAATTTATTTTTAATTGCAGTTGATGGAGAAACAAAGACTTGTGGAGTTTGCAGATGCGCTTCGAGTCAAACTCGAATATTTTGATGAACTAGAGAATGTTAGTTTTGAACGTCATTTACTACTTAATTGTGACACCACAGTGCAGTGTTATTGAATTTTGTCTGTTAACTTGCCATCTTAGGAGTACCCCAATGTGGATTGTTTTGGCCGTATAATACCTGATAATGGCGTTATTGTATATCTGAAAACCTCAGTATTTTTTTTCTGTCCGTTTGTGGGTTTTCGGGAATTCATTCACGGAAATTATTTTAATAAATCGGCAATGAAAACTTGTTGTTGATCCCAAATTTTTGGTTGAGATATTTGAGCAGTTTCTTCTCTACATATTTTTTTCTGTTTGTCTATAATTAGAAAAATGATTGTGTAATATGCAGGTTGCCAAGGCCTTCCATTCTCCTAGTATGAATGTCGGGAATGCAACTTTTCTTTCTTTGCTTAAACGACTTGACGAGTGCATTTCGTAAGTATATTTATTAAAGTATTGTTTTTTTTCTGAATTTCATATATAGTTGTTTTTCTCCATAGAATCCCTTTTCATGTGGTTCCAAATAACAGACTTTCCATGATGTTTTCATCTGTGATATTTTAGTGAATGTTGTTTCTGTTGTCAAGCCTAGGTATGTTGAGAATAATACAGAGTATGCAGAATCTGGTGTATACCTCATCAAGTTTCGACAGCATCAGGTACTTATTTAACAAAACTGTGTTGAACATTTCGATGCCCTTTGTGTTTATTACAACTGTGCATAGATTCATGTGACACATAATTTCTACATTAACAATTAAACTACGGTCTTCTTTACTTTTTTCCCCAACTTTTTGCAGTCTCGAGCATTGGGGATGATAAAAAATCATGTGCTTTCTGTGCTTAAAAATGCGTCTTTTCAGGTATGCTTCTAAAATATCTCCAAGTTTTTCAAAAACTATTCATTGTGCTTGGTAGATATTTGCTAAGGATTTCTGGCTTGAATATGCAGGCACAGTCTGCAATCCAAGACAGCAGTTTGAGTGCAGCAAATATTTCGGAAGGTGTTGAAGCCTCAGTAATTTATGTTCGTTTCAAGGCTGCTTCTGGTGAGGTAGTTTCTGGCATTGTGTTAGCCGTAACACAAAATATTGAGTTAATTGTCTTCCTCAGGGAAATGTTTGTAGTTGTATGATTTGTTGAGATAATTTTTTGAACGAATATAGTAGAAGTCCTTGATCTAATAACTGCCGTCACCTCTTTTTCACCCTGGTATTGATGAGTAGAATTGCGAATCATTTTCATGCTAACCTCTGAATTTTTGTGTTAATTTTCATAAAATATTGAATTTTTTTTGTTTTTCAGTTAAAGCCTGTGCTGGAGGAAATCGAAGGTAGATCTTCAAGGAAAGAATATGAAGAAGTTCTTTCAGATTGTCATCGGATATACTGTGAGCAGAGACTGTCATTGGTGCGTAATCAGTAATTTGTCGTTTGTGGGTAGTAAATTTCGTTTTAAACCAAGTGCTGATCCATGTGAGATCACTAATTATCTGTGCGCATTTAGATAAAAAGCCTCGTACAGCAGCGGATTTCTGAGTTTGCTAAAAAAGAAGCACTACCATCATTAACAAGATCAGGTTGTGCTTACCTAATACAGGTAGATATGGGTATCTAACTTGATTTTTTTTCTTTTCTTGGTTAGTTGGTTTCCGGCTACTTTTTTTGGTTTAAAAAGCTTCAATCTTCTTATTCTTCTAATATGCATGTGGGAAAATAATAGGAAATAAAATGCTTTTTTCGTCGTCATCACACTGATTAATAACCTTTAGCATTTATGGTTTCGTCTTATACGGCATAGAACCTAGGTAATGCCCATTTTAATAGTTGAAGGGGCTCTAGTCATCATTATGCATACAGTTGCAAACAGTTGGGAATAAATTTCTCCATTCAGGCCAATAGAAAATCGAAATTCTGTTGTGCAAAACTTAAGGCTCATATTTAAATTTAGTAGGGAAGTGGAAAATATGACTCAGAATTTACCATCTGTGTTTGAAATTTTTTGAGGGCTTTAATTTTGGAATGAAAGAGTGATTTAGTTTCATGTGTTCTACAACTCTTAGGTTTGTCAACTTGAGCACCAGCTTTTTGATCATTTTTTTCCATCTTCTTCAAAGGAAGGCTCGAGTATGGCTGCTCTTATGGATCCACTGTGAGTTAATTTTCCTGGTCTTATTTTAGATTTGTCTCTTGACTGTTGTGAATCTTATGGTTTTTTCTTTTGTTGCTCATATTTAAAACTGTATTTTCTGGAGAATTAATTCTTTCGCTGGCATTGCTCTAGAGTTAGTCAGTATTGGTGCATATATTAGAGGTATGAAGCATCTAGGGATGACCATTCTTTTCATAGTTTGAAGACTTCTCTTAGGATGGATACTATGTTTACTACACTATTCTCATGACTTTCTCGAATGCACTTGGAAGAAAGTCAATTACAATTTATCTCACTCAATCCACTTCAGGAAAGTTGGTCCAAATCGGAAAGAATTTTTTTCTTATCTTACATTCTTTCTTCTTTCCAGCTGTGCTCTCCAGTAAGTTTACCCGTCATTGTATCAAAAAATTATAATTATGCTAACGGGCTTGTTAATTTTCTCAGGTGCACACATTTGTATGACACTCTGCGTCCAAAAATCGTTTATGAAGCGAATATCGATTCTCTTTGTGAACTTGTTGATATTCTTAAAGTGGAAATGTTAGGAGAGCAGCTTAGCAGACGAACCGAGTCATTAGCAGGGTTGCATCCCATATTTATAAGAATTCTGGGCGATGTTCATGAGAGACTGGCTTTCCGCGCTCGGACATATATTCAAGATGAGGTAACATGGAAATTTTCTTTTCCTTTTTGGTTCTGTCTCATATTTATCTTGGTATCCTAAATTTCGTTGATTTATTTTATTAAGTTGTCGCTCCCCCAGGTATTGTCAAATAAAGTTTTATCTCTATTGGATTTCTGTTGACATGCTCCGATGAATATTTGTCTGCTGAATGCCCCTGATAGGCTAGGAAGTTCTAAAAGATTCTGCCGCGTGCTTTAGCTTTAGATGAATAACATTTTTTTTCTGCTCGTGAATGTGAATAAAATAGATGGAGTGGAAAAAAAATTGCTGTATAAAATCAGCTTTCCGGGGAAAAAAAATGTAGTTACATTGTGATATTTTGCAGAGTGCTAAGATCTCCATGTCTTTTGAGTGATTTTATTCGCAAATGATTTCTCTGGATGAGAACTATGCTAAGTTATAGATCCTCATTTTTCTATCTTTAGATACGGAAGTACTTTCCAGTTGATGATGACCTGGATTACCCTGCAAAACTGAAGATACCTGCCGGGATACAACCAGAAGCAGCCGTAAGTGATTCTTCTTTTGGAATTCGGATTCTCCGCCCTTATTTGATGTGGTGCAAGAAAATCTTAAAATTTGACCTTTGTTTAATCTGCTGATTCCTGACCATTCTTTTGAATCTATCCCTGTTCTGTTTGAGATAACCAGTTATGCTTTGAAGGAACCAGATAACTTCGTGATGATTTGTGCCTCCTCTTTTTTCCATATGTTTTTCTTTTTCACTAAATTTTTTCAAGGTTAAAGTCTATCAGTCTATTATTTTTATTCTCATTTTAAGGCTGTGGACTAGCTATCCTTTACGTAAGTGTTGGAAGGAAGGGTATAAACAAAACTTCCTTGTGAGATAACCTGGTATTTGTATTGTACATTTACTAGTTTCATTTAGTATGGCTTCTTCTAGGTATTTTACTTGTAGGTATCTACAAAGTAATTGTAGAATTCAACTGTTGCATGCTTCACCACCATACAAGCTTGGACACAGTACCGTACAAGAAAATCTCTCAAAATAGTAACAAAAAACTGATCATAGGTGTCTTATTAAAGAGAACTCTGCCTGCAGGTTACTGAAAACTCTAGCACGTTCGGAACTTGGTATCCGTCTCTGGAGAAAACAGTTTCACTTTTATCCAAGCTGTACCAACGTCTAGAACCTACAGTCTTTACTGGTTTAGCTCAGGTCAGGTGCAAGATTTGTTACAATTTCTCCTCACATTTCTTTTTGGTATGAAACATTCCTATACCAAAATGTTGCTGACATTCTTTCTGCAATATTTCCAGACAGCAGTGGAAGTTTGTTCCCAATCTATTCAGGTGCGTGTGAAACCTCATCATCTGTCGTTCCATTTATTCCATCTATGTCATCTTTTAATATATGTGAGTAATTACTTTTTCGTTTCTTATCCATGCTTTCTACTTTGGTTACAGAATGCTAGCAAACTTATTGCTAAAAGATCATCCCCGATGGATGGACAGCTTTTCCTCATAAAACATTTACTCATTTTAAGAGAACAGGTGGCTAATTGTTCATATTTATTTCTTCCATTATATTCCTCATTATATACAAGGTCTCTCAGTTTAATATCATCAAGATCAGCTGTTCTAACACGAATCAATAATTTCTTCGAATTTCAGATTGCACCTTTTGACATTGAGTTCGCTGTCACATATAAGGAGCTGGATTTCTCTCATCTTCTGGTTAGTTTTCTATGGAAAATCTCTGGCCCGTACTCCATTAATTTTCTCTTTAGTCTTCTGTTATCATTTCTACATTAATCTACTAGTCTGTTTATTTCCTAATGTCTGCTAATGTCCTAACTGTTGGGCTGTGACAAATGCGTTAGCTTTTACGTACCTGGGCTCTTTCTTTTTGAGCTCTTTTTTTGTTTTGGATATTCCGTCGAACTCATAACCTGTTGACTATGATGGTTTAAGCTATGCTTGTCCCATTTTTTATCCTATAATAACATCATTGAACATGTATTTTGATTAAAACAGGTTTACTTTATGAGTCCGACACAAATGCTAGATATGAAAGTGTTCCCAACTTGGATGCATTGAATGACTCATTTGACTCCCACGTGCTAGAACTTGATTGCAATGCACGCCTGCTGTCGAGATGTTTAACTCCCATGTTGCAAGTAGTGGTTGATTCAATTGGAACCTTTCAGCCACTTTGCCATGTTTTTGATAAGTTTGTTCTCAGTGCTAAAAATAGACATTTGGATTCCATATTAGTTTCTGATACTTGTCTTATGTTTGATCACTTTCTGATGTAGTAGACTAGTTGAACAGCTTGGGTGGTGTGGTGTTGGTGCACGTTTGTGTGAGGCATGTGGGCTTGGTCCACCAGAAAGAACCTCTCCAGGGCCACACTTTTACCCAGCAAGAATAAGGCCACCTGAAAAGTACTGTGCCTATGACCTGTGTATTAGAGTTGTGAGAAGGGAGAGTCAACCGCTGCTGGTGTTCACACCCCGACAAGATGCTATCGGTGAAGAGAGGTGCATCTCCAAGCTGGAATTAAACATCAGTGATACACAAACGGTGTAGTAGAAGAGAAAAAGCAGGACAGAAAAATAGGTTTCGGCATTAGGAAGGCCATGTGGCCATCCAAAACCTCCTGCAGCTTTGGTGCAAGTAGTTGACTTTTCACTCCCTTTGCAGTGAGAAAGCATGGGACGTCAAATATATATTTATGCCTCAAGTAGGTTAGTCAACTTATTCCTAATTGGCAAATTAATCTTGCAGGAGCACCTGAGAAGAATACTGAGAGGCCAAGCGTCGGTATTCAACTGGCCAAATTCTACGTCCTTGGCAAGAACTTTATCACCGCGTGTTCTGGAGAGTCAGATAGATGCTAAGAAGGTGAGACCCTACATTTCCTTCAATTTCTTAGTTTATTAGCCTAATGTTGAATAAATTAACTTGGGGTTTAATTATGCAAGCTACTCCAGTCTGTTCTTGCTGTTGCATTCTATCGTAGAGGCTCACTTAGAAAACATTACTCCAGCATATATTTTCGTTTTGAAATATCTTCTCTGACACAAATATTCTCGCTGTAAGAGCAAAAAGTCAACCATGTTGCTCCAAGTAAGTATAGGGAGAAAGTAAATGCATGGAATGATATCCTAACCTGGGATTATAGACAATCAAATCATACCAGATCTCCATCTCCTTTTCTTCTGAGCTCAGATCATTTACAGCGATTTTTTCTATTTAGATGATGATGATGCCATGGATGCATTACGTCCTATCTGATGAGGCCTTTTCCCATCTAGCTTCAGCTAGCTTGGGGCTCATACCCGGAATAGAAAAGATTTGGCATAATTATCAATGCCAAAATTACTCAAAACTTCAGTGATTGGTCTTAGAAGAGCGCCTCTTGATGATAACCTAAGAACAGTTGTGTGCAATCTTGAGCAGTCCTAATCATTCATCTCAGATATACCATAAACAATTAGAAAATTAATGGCCCCACTCTTTTGCTGACCAAGCTTTCGTTCTACTTCTGATACTAATACCATTCTGCAATGCAATTGAATCCTCCACGGCATCACGCAATTTTCGATTGATGGAAAATAATCGATCATTCAAGAAGGGTCTCTTCCCAATAATTATCCTCTGAAATATTTTATTATGTAATTTCATGGAGCAAAGCAAAGCAGTTGACCTTCGGTTTTTCCTCTGCCACTTTTTTTTTTTTTTTACTGTGATAAAAATAAATAAACAACTAACTGGGGGATATTCCCACCTCTTGTCTTGATGTAGGAACTCGAGAAGATTCTAAAAACGACTTGCGAAGAATTCATCATGTCTGTCACAAAGCTGGTCGTCGAACCCTTGCTTTCATTTGTTGCCAAGGTATCATGAATTTTCCTCTTTTTTCTTTTTTTTTTTGGAGACCAATTATCTTAAATATCCCATCATATTAGAAAGATGCATTCGATCTTTTCCTCTAGCCCATTCAAAAAGAATAATATCATGCATTTTGCCAAGGTCAAGCTTCGCAATATAATGTGTTCTTGAGCGGCCAGTGATTTCTGAATTAAAAAAAAATAAAAATAGAAATTCATCGGCCGAACATATTTTTTCGGGGCAGGCGTCGGCTGTGAAGGTCGCATTATCCACGAGCAGCCCGGAGGGGAAATCGGACTCCATTCTGGCGAAGCCACTCAAGAGCCAGGCCTTCGCGACGCCCGACAAAGTCGCTGAGCTGATTCAGAAGGTTCGTCACTCGAAAAATATCACCATTTTTCAACGCTGGAAAAGGTCAACCTTCCGAACACCCCAACACCCTCTTGACCTTCTTCTCTCTTTGGACAGGTTGGAGCAGCCATCGAGGAAGATCTTCGTAGAGCGATCGAGAAGCTGAAGCTGTACCTCGTGAATCCCCCCACTCAGATGATCCTCTTCAAACCCATCAGGTAACAAACCTTGGCCTAGTAGAAATATCTCTTATGTTCTTATTTATTTATTTACTTATTGCCACCTGTCCATCCGACGATCGCCCACGTGGCGGATTTGCTCGTGTCACTCGGCAGGACCAACATCGTGGAGGCGCATCTGCAGCTGCAGTCCCTGCTGAAGGCCGAGTACTCCGAGGAGGAGATCCAGGGGGTGGCCTTGCCGCCCATCTCCCATCTCGAAGCCCAGCTCGACCAGCTTCTCTAGGCCCTCCTCTCTCTCTCTCTCTCTCTCTCTCTCTCTCGCCCTAGATCTGAGGATGGGATCGCGTGATCTGGAGGATGATGGGCGATGATGGGCGGTCCGATTTGATCTCAGTTCGTGTGTCATCACCACGAGGGATGCAGAACATTGGTCACAACGAGCTCTGGCGGTCAACTCTGCTTCGTCTGGGGGGGGGCCCTTCTCTTTGTGAGCACAAATTGAGGGCATTCAATGCCGTCGTACTTTTTTAAAATACAACCTGAGAATCTTTCAGTTTGTGGAGCTGAAAACTCCACAAAACTCTGCCTCGTGGAGTTGCATGTGGACCCACGTTGGGCCAACTGTATTTGAAGAGGTGAGAGACACAACTCGGGGCGGTTCAGGCCCGACTTGCCGATGCCGCCGCCGTGGACGGTGAGGTTCCTCTGGGGCTGAATCGCCGCTGTAAGGCGGCTGTAGCCGTTGTGGACAGGAGCCTCCGGTGGATCGGAATTTGGAGCTGCTCCATGATGCTGATGAGGTGGGCGGCGATGGCGAGGCTGTTGCTCGTGTACTGCTTGGCGTTACGCATCGCCGCCACCATCTGCTCCCCGAAGTCTCCACCAACGCCGTCGAACGAGTCGAGACAGGTCTCCTGATCGGTGAGGGCGGCGCTCAGCCAGGTTTTGAGATCGTCGATCTTCGAGGGGGTGAGCGTCTTCTCTCCCCCCACCGGCGGCGGGCGCAGCGACTCCAGAGACGCGTTCAGGTGATCGACGGCGCTGCTCAGCATCTCTTTGCAGACTTTCAGCGCCTCCACCGCTCTCTGGTCGGTGACGCCCTTCGAAATGGCGTCTGGCACGGTGGCGATCCGCGAGATCTCGTCCATGGCGACGCGCAGCGAGAGCTTGAAGATCTCCTCCGGATCGGAGGTGGAATTCGCGCCGACGGCGGAGAGGCTCGAGTAGCAGGAGGACTCCAGCTCCTTCCTCACCACGCTGCACACGGCCTTGACAGATCCCGTCCCTGCCGGCGAACCTACTCCTCCACCGGCGGAGGAGTAGCGATTCCCGCGCCCTGCGCCGCTGACGCCGACGACGACCAACACCACCGCCACGAGAAGCAGAAGAAGGACAGTCGAGAGACCGGCGATGGCGAGGCGGCGCTGCCGGTTTCTCTCCGGGAGCGCCCTCTCATCGGCGACGGCGACGGCGACCTTCCCGTAACCCCTTAGCGTTTTGACGGAATCCATCCTCCTGCCGCTTCTGGTTTAAGCCCGCGTTTTCTCTGCAGTGGGAACCTGTAGATGGAGTGGCATTTTATTTATTGGCGCGGTGGGTGAGGGAGGGTCGTTGGTAGAAAAGGTCTCTAAAGCCCCCGAATACCACGGGATCCATGCACAGAAAAAGGGTATTATAGTCACTTTCTATGGCAGTGGGCGCCGGTGCAACTAATTATATTACCTGTGAAAGGTGTTTTGGTAAAATACAGGTAGCGACAGGTTGCTCTCCAGAGAGAGAGAGAGAGAGAGAGAGAGAGAGAGAGAGAGGGCATTTGGATATTTGTCACTTCCGTGTTTGTGAAGAATAGATTATAAATTTATACACTTTAGGACGCACATTTTCACTTAATTACCAAAGGAACCAGCACCTCAAGCTTGTCGTCCAATGAACCAATCCGAACCTTCCGAGAAAAGACAGGATGAAAGCTAAGCAGCCTGCCTCGAGTGTCATCTCTCTCTCTCGCTGTCTCTCGACTCCTCTAATCGCTCCCTCTCCATCTCTCTCTCTCTCTCTCTCTCTCTCTCTCTTCTCCTTAGGTGCATGCATGTAAGCAAGACGGGGTGCTTATTTTTTGGGTTTTTTTCTTACTCCTAATCCCGCCTGAAAATTAATTTGCGATATTTTCCGATTAAAGTTTCCAAGCGTCCCCCCACCCCCCGAATTTTTTTTTTAATATACGCCTCAGACTCCGAAGACATCCCTCATTTAAGTCAACAACAACGAAAAAGTTCAACATCTAACATTGAAAGACACGCATTACGTCTAATCCAATGCTTTTTAGATTTTTTTTCTCCTTATTTGGACTGATTCATGCACTAAGCTGACACATATGGTGCCATAAATCAGTTGATTTAACTCGGATGGAGCAAGTTAACTCCATATTCCGTTAATTAATCCTAGACAATCCCTACAATGAGGGAGGCATATTCCATCTGGGTGATGGTTAATAATCCTCATAAGAATCTTGAGGAGAGAGGGAGGGCGGGAGGGAGGGAGGAAGAGAGAGAGAGAACCTAAAAATAATTCTTAGGAGAGAGAGAGAGAGAGAAAGAGAAAGAGAACCTTAGAATAATCCTCAAGAGAGAGAAACAATAATCCTTAGTAGGGAGAGAGATAGAGAGAACCTTAGAATAATCCTCAAGAGAGAGAGAGAGAGAACATCAAAACAATCCTCAAGAAAGGGAGAGAGATAGAGAACAAGAATATATAGAAATAAATCAACATCTATACATATTTCTCATGATGAACTAAATTATTAGCAAAATTAATAATTACTTTCTGTCACAACATAATTTAGGAGGAGATGAACTTAGAAAACCTGATTCTCATAATAAGATCATAATAACAAACCATAAAAAATACTTTCTTGTATTTCTTTAAACTCTACTTGAATTATAGCATAGGCAACTGCACTTTGTTTTTTACTTCTCCATGTGGCCATATTTCACCAACTAATGTATAATACCTTGAAATTTATGCATTAGCCCAATTCACATGTATAACATTTTATTTCAAGGTGTCTATGAGCAATATGAAGAAGATCATTGCCTGGACATCTTTTGAGATATCAAAGTACACAAATTACAACTAGAATAGAAGTCATCCATAAATTGATTGACTACACTCACAACATAAGAAATAGCTGGACGATTATGTAAAAGATATATGAATCATTCAACAAGTTGTTGATATTGTAGTTTATCTACTTGTTCTCTATTATCACTTGATAAGTAATGATTTTTCTCTATAAAAAATAATAGTTAGTCTTCAACTCATGACACTAGTTTTCATAAGAAAATCTAAGGTGTATTTTATTTAAGATAGAAAAATTCTTTTAGGAGATTGAGAGACTTTAATTATGAGAACGTAATTTAATCATCTCATATTATTATTTCAAAAGCTTGAGCCAATTAGATCTCTAATTTACTGATATTTCTAACATCATCTATTATAGTCATGATATCAACAACATGTACAATTAGGATGGTAATCATATGACAATTACATTGCAAGAAAAGAATATGATTTATATTACTTTTTTTATTTCCCCTTTTCATTATACTTTTTAAAAAAACAATCAAACCATGCTTGAGAAAAAAAATTAAGACTATAAAGTGACTATTTAAGTGGCATACCTTTTCAACTACTTGCGTAGTATAAGATATTCCTACCATTGTTCACAACACATGATATGAGAGTTGTTATTGAATTCATCTTGACATCATGTGCAAATGTTTCTTTATAATCTATCCCATGTATCTATGCATATTCTTTTGCAACTAAGCAAACTTTATATCGAAGCAAGCTTCCATGTCTTAATTTTTTTTAGTCATAACTTTCTTCCATTTTTCATCTTGTAATGTCATCTTTCAACCTGTGAGCATGAAAATTATCAACAATCATGTAACAAAACTTTGATTAGATGAAGATAAGAATTTCTATGACACAATATTAGTGATGCCATGTTCATATCTTTCATCATCTTTGAAATGGATAGGTATACCAGTATAACAAGTAAACTTTATAGAGTTATAAGAATGTGTCAATCATTATTATCTTGAATAGAGGGACTACTTGATGAATAATGAGAATCACTTATTTCTAAGAAATAAGTAATAAATAATGATGATGTTGTTGTTACTTTGAATGGTTATTTGACATATAAAAAATGGAGAACAAGTTCTTGTGAATAGGAATGAGCTTGTGACATTGATGTCTTTTGTTTTCATAAATTCTCAACTTAAAAATCAGCACTCTTCTCAAAGTCATCATAAACTATGTGAGGAGTAGAAGAGAATCTGTTTTTAGGACATTTCTTGCTCCCCTTGTTTGCCATCATTATATGCAGTAAGAGAAATTGAATATGAGTATTCATATAAAGGTTTTGATTCTCTAAATGTAACATCTAGACTAATTAATATTTTCTTCTCAATTAGACACCAACACTTGGACCTTTTTTGTGTTGTAGAGTATTACACAAAAATGTATTAATGTAGATGAGGAACAAGGTTCCTCTACATGATTAATAATCTTATGTAAAAAAATATATCCAAAACTCATTATAAACACTTTAGGGGTATCTTATAACCTAAAATCTAAAGTGACACACGATTAATCAAATATGTTAGTGTCATAATTACCTCATTATACAAAACTTAAGAAGAAGTTGATTATATCACTATTCTATTTTGAGATGAGGTATTTATGTATGTAGTTTGATGAATAATGTCATTATTACACATGTACTTTTGAAATTCTTTAAATGCATAGTCTACATCATTATCAAAGCAAATTATTTTAACTTTAGCTCCAAATTGTTTCCCAATCATATTATGAATTGAAATAAATATACACTTCTTTCTATTTCAACAAATATACCAATGTTGACCTACCAAAACAATCAATGAATATAACAAACCATCTATGACTAGAAATAACGGTTTGTACATGTGGTCCCCATACATATGAAAGCTTCAAAAGTATACCAAACAATCTGTCAACATATAGATATAAGTTTTTATATGTTTGGCTAATTTGCAAGCATCACACACTATTTTTTTTATTACATATCACATAAGTAGAAGAAAATAATTATTTCTTAAGTGAAAAAGGTGAATGACTAAATCATTTATGATGTAGAATCAACTTCACCTCAATAAGAGACGAAGCCACAAAGCTAGTTTCAATATAGTTTTTGATCAATCCATCATTTAAATAGTGAAGTCAATCACACATTATTTCAGTCCCAAGTCTCTACCCTATGGAAGGCATGAAGCATGAGGAATTTGATGATAAAGATATTATTGTGGTATAATTTATAATCTCTTTACTAACAATTGGATTCACTAGAAAGACTTGGTAGTAAAGCACACTTTGTTATGACAAGACCATGAAGTAAATTAGATAAAAAAATTAGATAAACTTCTCATGTGACTAGATGTCTTAGAATCAATTATCTAAAATGAAAAATCATTGCACATACGGACTAAGTTCTGACCTCTTCTATTTGTTTGAGTGAGGTTGTTGCGAGATGTAGTCTTTGAAGATTGTACTGAGGAAACCATCATAAAATTGTCACCATATGAAACCTACAAGTTGGATCTAAATTTTTGAATGAGTTTCTTTCTTGTGTTGTCAATTCTCACAGAAATCAAAAAATAAGTTTTTTTTTATTTCCTGAACCTTTATTGATTTGCGATCTCCTTCTATCACCAAAAGATCCATAACTACGTCTTTAAAGTCGCCTATGTAATTCATAGTAATATACTTTTATATAATCAAGTTTATGATAGAATACTTGACATATCAAAATCCTCATCCTTAAGAGAGTCCACCTCCTTGAGATATATTAGAATCACTAAAAAGAGGTGAAGGTCGTACTATCAATCCTAATCTAACAACTCTAATTATATATTGTATCTAAATATAGATGTGTTTATCTGCTAAGGATCATAAAGATGGACTTGTCAAGAGTAGGCCAATCTTGTGTGTTCAATATAGAAGAATGTTGATGCTCAAATTTTTTATTTAATATAATATAAGAAATCAATAAGATGTTGATGTTTCACCCAATTTTCGAAAATGACAACATTATAAGTGAGTTAGAGTAAAACTATTATGAAAATTGAAATCATTTCATATCTTTTTAAACTCACCCACATATTTTGTCATAGACAGAACTTTTCAACTTTTAAGTTCCCTTTGTTTCTTGTGTGTATGAATATGATTACTTTTGTGAAAGTAAGTTTCTATTGTAACTTGTCATAAATTAATATGCATCAGTCGATTCGTCAACAGTTCTAGAATATTATGTTTCACAACTAGGGAATTATTTGAACTTCGCATCTTGAAAGTAATATCATCACCTATAAGCTTCTTCTTTGATACATTATACATGTCTTGAAATATAAAAAATATAAAGATATGGAACCACCAAAATTATATAATTTTATTATACAATTATATCCTTCAGTTTTTATATCACCTTCGAGATCATGTAAATCAAGGACCAAAGATACATGATGTATCCAACTTAAATGTTTCAGATCTATTAAAATCAGTAGGATTATATGCTTACATCATCTCTATATTCTACACAATTAGAAATTGAGATTCAATCAACTTGACTAGTAATCTATCTGAAGGTTTCATTATTACTTAAGTTGTATCAGCTATTAAAATGGTGGGAAAAAAATATGTACAATGTCAAAGGTAGAAGAAGAACAATCTTGTCAATCCAACTTAGCCACCAAGCCAAATACCGACTCACTTCAAAGGTGATTTATAGATATTCAGCTATATTGAAACACTTTTGTTGAAAGAGGTCCTGCAAACTATTGTTAAGGACATGACTTGTTGCACAATATGAAATAAAGAGTAGGGGAAGAGGAAGAACAGGTGGAAGCAATGAGTGGAATGTGCTTGTGGTATGAAAAGGAAAGAGTGAGAAGAGGTCCTTGAGCACTAAGAAAAATTTGGCTGCAAAAGAGGGAAAAACGAAAATCCTTCCCCATTTTGGCAGTAAGGTTTCGTATCCCCTTTTTCTCATTACTTCTCTTTTATAATAGAAGTCTTTAATGTCCCCAAAATACCCTTGACAGTAGGAAATGGGCACACTCCAGCAGTCAGGGGGGTTCCCTTCAGACGGGATAATCGTAGGGGAAGGAAGTAGACTCGAGCCAACCGTCGCCGGAGATGAGCGCCTCGACGGTGAACTCGACGGCGTCGTCGTACTCCATCAGGTGGTGCCCCGCCCAATCCACCCTCTTCTCCGTCCTCGCCCCTTCCCCTCTGTTCCTGTACTCCCCGTAATACACCGTCTCCAACCCCTTTCTAGTGGCGTTCCACTCCCTCCACCCAGCCGGATCCACCACGCTGTCCATATACGTCTCCATGAACACCGTCCTCGAGTACTCCCTCCACGGCCTCCCCAGGTACGTCCTGGTGGCGCTGCCAGCGAAGTCCCCGGCGGCGACGACGGTGCAGTTCTGTATCGAAATCCCCGTGTTCTCGTTCGGGTCGTCCCTTCCCTGGGCAGTGATGGCGTTGAACTGGCCCGGGAGCGGCCTCCTGGGTTGGATGGCACAGCCCTGGAAGACGACGGCGGCGTTGCCGAAGATAAAGTCGACGGTGCCAGAGATGGCGCATTCCCTGTAGAACTGCCGAAAGGAGTGCACATAGAGGGTGTCCTGGTAGCCGCTGAAGCTGCACAGGTAGAAGGCGGAGAGGTCCGCGTTCACACGCAGCGCCACCGCCTGCGCGTTCTCCGGCCCCGCCGCGTTCTCCACCGCGATGTCCCTCGCTAGGAACCCCTCCCCCGCCACCGCTGCTCCACACCCACTCGTCATTTATCTCTCTAGGCCCCCTAGAGAGAGAGAGAGAGAGAGAGAGAGAGAGAGGGCTGCTTTTTTACTGACCGAGGGTGGCGGAGCGGAAGGTAGTCCAGCCGCCGCCGACGCTGCGGGAGCCGCGGATCACGGTGGCGTTGCTGCCGTCGCCGAGGAAGACGACGTTCGTCTTGTAGCTGGGGATCTCCACGTTCTCGTTGTACACGCCAGCCCGCACGATGATGACGGTGCGGTCGCCGCTGTTGTTCGGGACGGCGGCGACGGCGTCGCCGATAGTCGTGAAGTTGCCGGAGCCGTCCTGCGCCACCGTGAGCACTGATCTCGGATCGTACCCATTTCCTGTAAAACCATCTTTCACCATTAAAATCTACCAATCGATCGGGAAGATGATTCTACGGTTCTGAGATTACTACCTTCGTCGGTGCTCTGTAGCAGCCGCCGGTCGCGCCGTGATAGCCAAGCGGGGAATTGGCTGCTACCAGATATGGACCCCGGCGGGTGCCGTCGCCCCCGTCGGCGGCCCCCCGGCGGCGGTGCCACATTGGAGAGGATGGAGAGGGCGTTGCTGACGGACTTGTAGGCCTCCGCCACCGCGCCGGCTACGGTCTCCTTTGCGGGGCCGGAGGCAGCGGCGAGGCCCTCGAGGCAGGTGGCGCGGTTGGTGAGGGCGGCGCTGAGAAATGTGCGGACATCGGAGAGCTTCTTGCCGGAGAGGACGAAGGAGGAGGACTTTCTGAGGCAGGAGAGGCTGATCTGGTGGAGCTCCCAGCAGTCTTGGAGGGTGGCCCGCTGGTTCTCGACGACACCGGCGCCGGCGGAGCCGAGGATTCTGGCGAGGTCTGAGGCCTCAGAGAGGGCGGATTTCAGGGTCTGGAGGAGGAAAGTGAGGATGGAGGGGCTGATGTTGATGTCAACGAAGAGGTTGAGGGATTTGAGGCAGGTTTCGGGGTGGGGGGTGGAGTTGCAGAGTTTCTTGGCGGAGAGGGAGCTTGGGAGGACGGAGGGAGAAGAAGAGGACTCTGAGAGTGGCGGCGATACTAGAAGGAGAAGAAGAAGAATGCAGACTGTTGGCAATGGTGATGAAGAGGGCCGGAGGAGAGAGGAAGCCATGGTGTGTCGAGGGTAGTCCCTACTGAGCGTGGAGCTCCTCTGTAATCGCTGGAATTAAGTAGTAAGATGAAGCGCTTTGGAGCTACAGAAGTCGGTGACTGATTCGTATGACGAATACGAGCCTGAGAGGGACTGCTGAGCCTCTCTGTCTCTCTCTCTCTCACACACACACACCCCACACACACAACGTCTACTGAGATATCTTTCCGCTCTCTCTCTCTCTCTCTCTCTCTCTCTCTCTCTCTCTCTACATGAAGAACCCAGCCGCCGCCGTTCGAACAGATGGCTAAGCTCTTACCTGTCGCGACCACATGAATAAAAGTTAGAGGTGTGGAGAGAGAATGAGAAGTGAAGAGATAGATCGGTAGGCATAGAGAGAAATAGGTAGAGTGAGAGACGGATAGAGATTTAGAGAGAGAGACAAATGTCGCAAGATGAACACGTGGGTGTCTAGAGGGAGAGAGAGAGAGGAAGATGTTCAGAGAGAGAGATAATCTGGCATTTGCCGATGTGGAACTATTCGTATAGTATGCATAATTACTTTGAGAGAGAAAGAAAGATAGAGGGAGCCATTAAACAACTGTAGAAAAGCTGTAAGCGTTTGGCTGTGTCTGCCAAATTATTCAGCGAGTTATGTCTATCACATGGCCATCTTTTTCCTTGCCATTACATATCGTGCTGGGGAGGGAGGGAGGGAAGAGAGAGAGAGAGAGAGAGAGTTAGGACAAAACATATGCCTGTGAGGGGAGGAGGGAGGGATCGGTGGATACCACAGACTCTCGCACAACACCTCTTGTACCCATGCGGCCGACTGTCTGAACGGGGACGCGTGAACCAAGCAAGACGACGGAAGTTGGATCTTTTTGCCACATTTGAACCAGAGGGAGGGAGAGAGAGAGAGAGAGAGAGAGAGAGAGAGAGAGAGAGAGAGAGAGAGAGAGGGAGAGAGAGAGCTGCCAGGCGACTCTAACCGAATAACATATCAAAAAAATTCCAAAAAAAATAAACCTTCTCGTGGTGCCCTGAAGAGCCTCAGCCAGAGAGCGAGGGGGGGAGGAGTGCCAGAGATGAGCTGCTATGCGGACAATCACAGGCCTTACTAACTTTGGACTTTCAACCTGAACATTATTGAAACCTAAATCATATGAAGATCGAGATAAAACAGAGTTCCCTGGCCTTCCTTTTTCATTTCATACTTCATATCGCCATCTAGTAAATAATTGGCCTTTGATGATCGAGACTTATGGGACCCATTTGACGATATCGTGTGCTATGGAATCGGAGATTTTTAGGAGATGGGCTTCATCAAATTATACCAAAATACACGAAATGACGTATTTTTATAACAATTTTGATACCAAAATATTTCAGATCACGTAGTAACTTACAGGTCTCGGATAATCAACCAATCAGTACACTCAGAAAGACGTATATTTTTCAAACACCAGACGATTATTACGTCGCATAATTCTGACTATTCCGAAGGGAGGGATGGCCCTTCTTCCCTTCCGCTGAACCAGGCCATGGCGGCGGCGAGGGGAGCCACCTCGGAACCAGAGTCACTCTATCAGCCCGGCGGTGTACCGGACCCCCGTTGCCGGCAACCAGACGTCGCCGTCGATGAAGGTCCCCACCGTGAAGTTGCTCGCCACTTGCCGGTCGGTGATGACGTGGAACCCCGGCCACTGGACCCTGCCGACGACGGCGGAAGCCGGCCCCGTGTTCATATACTCGCCGTAGTAGAGAGTGTTCAGGGCGAAGTCCCCCGCCCATGGCAGCCATCCCTCCTCCCTGATCCCCTCCCCCAGATACGACTGCATCACCACAGTCCTCGAGTACTCCTTCCACGGCCTCCCCAGGTACGTCGCTGGCGGCGGCGCCGCCGCCGGCACGGTGGTGTCTTCTTCCTCGAAGATGATGTTGCAGGCGTGGATGGAGAAGCCGGTGTTCTGATCCGGGTACTTGCGGCCGTGGGCCGTCACGGAGTTCTTCTGGTGGGGGAGCGGTCGGCGGGCGGTGATGTTGCAGTTCTGGAAGACGGCGGCGGCGTTGCCAAAGATGAAGTCGATAGTGCCGCTGATGCGGCACTCGCGGAAGAACTGGCGCAGGGAGTGGGCGTAGAGCGTGTCCTGGTAGCCGGCGATCTCCGCGCTGAAGTAGGCGGAGAGGTCCGAGTCCGTCCTCAGCGCCACCGCCTGGTGCTTCTCCGGCCCCGCCGTGTTCTCCACCGTCAGGTCCCTCATGATGAATCCCTTCCCCGAAACAGCTGCAAAAATGATGATGATGATCATCATCATGTTCTTCTTCTTTCTGGTTCCTGAGCTGATAAATCGATGATCTTACCGAGGGTGGCGGTGCGGAAGGTGGTCCAGCCATCGACGAAGTTCCGGCTGCCGGAGATGATGGTGGCGCCGATGCCGTCGCCGACGAGGACTATATTCCACTTGTTCCTGTTGATTTCCACGTTCTCGTAGTACAACCCCGTCTTCACGTAGATGATGAACCGTCTCTCGCTCTTCTCCGGCGCCGCCTCCACCGCCTCCGCCACCGTGCTGTAATCGCCGGTACCGTCCGCCGCCACCACCGCGTCCGGCTGCAGAGATGACGGAGGGGCCTGCAGCAGCCGCCGCTCTGCGGCGGCCATCCACGCCGGGAACTTTCCATTTTCCACGAGCAACTTCCGGTTCCGTCTTCCATTAACCTCGCCTTCGGCGGCGACGGCGGTGGCTGGTATCTGCGAGAGGAGCTGGTGAACGAGGGACGTCACGGTGGCGAGGCCGCCGGCGACTAGGTTTCCGACGAACTGGTTCGTGCCCTCGATGCCCTCTGCGCAGGTGATCTGGTTGCCGACGGCGGCGCTTAGCCAGGACTGAAGATCTGACCGCCGGCGAGCCGCCGTGCTGGAAGAAGCGGTGGAGCTGGACGCAGAAAGCGTAAATTGAAGCTCGTCGGCGGATAAGGAGAGGAGCTCCGTGCAGTCCTGGACAGCGTAGGAGAGGCGGCTGTGGCCGCCGAGGAGTAGGCCAGGGAGGGTTGACAGGAGGGACTGGACGGCGCTGATCTCGTCGAGGGCGGTGCGGAGGGTGGAGACGAAGGCCGAGGAATGAGCGGCGGAGGTGTCGCCGGCCGTCGCGGAGCTACAGAGAGAGGAGAAGAGGAGGAGAATTAACACCGGCTGAGGAGCCATTCCCGCGTTGCAGAGCCAGTGCATTCGGAAGGTCGTGAAGACAACTCTCACCATAAGTACTCTGAGAAGACAGTAGCATACGAGTCAGCCGGGAGAAAGATGTTAGAGAGAGAGAGAGAGACAGAGAGAGAGAGAGAGAGAGAGAGAGAGGAGGCGGGGGTGATTGTTTGCCATTCCTTTGACGCGGGGTTGACTTCGAGAGACCCAGAAAGACGGTGCCGACGGGAATCGAGAGGGAGATTGAGGGGGGGAAGATCTTTCTAGTAGGAGCTAGGGCAGATACGTCTGGGTGCTGAAGACTACAACCAGACATCTGGCGGCTGGGACACTTTAACTAGAGCCATCAACGCCTCTCTCTCTGGATCCCCTTAGATATGTACGAGATTCCCAGTCGAGAGAGAGAGATATGCATGGCGGGGACAGACAGGACCACCCCCAGTCCCTCACTGTCCATCCATCAGCAAGGAAGCATGCCGGTGGAATCACATGCAGAGCTCGTGCCGTTCCTTTCTTCGCAACGTGATCTTGTCCGACGCTAGCCGCCCGGCCTCTCTCTCTCTCTCTCTCTCTCTCTCTACATGAGCCATATTTGGGCAGAAATTTTCCCGTGCTTGAACCTTACATAAAGCCCAATACGGAAAATAGGCCCAACCCAATCCAGTCCCTATCTGGGCTTCATTTGACTTTCAGGAGGCTCCACAAACGGACCAATCTGATTACGAGACGGAGGGAGGGAGGGAGAGAGAGAACCACTCAAGAACGAATTATAAATGAAATAATACAAAGTATATATGTAATAAACTTTACTCATGAGGGTCAAACGAATTATAGAGGGTAAACGTTTTCGACGGTAACGATCGACGGCATTTCAGAACAGGCATCACTGGCCGTTGAAGTGATGGGTTCACTCCCCATCATGAACGGTGGATGATGGCCGAAGGACGTCGATCTGGTACGTCCATCCATACACGCCCACATGTTTTGCACCACGTACGGAGGAGAGGAGAAGGGGAGATCACGAGCCATCCGTTGCCGATGCATATCTGACGTTGCTAGCCGTTGGATTGAGAAGTATTGAGTACATCTGATCTGCATCGTCGGATTGTAAACGAGCGGTGGAGGATGGAGGGGCCAATAATTTCTACCGTTCTGCGGTTCGTTCGTGCGGTCGCCGACTTCATCGACTGGTTTCTTCTTCTTCTTCTTCCTCTCCGTAGAAGGGAAAGGAAAGGGGAGGTGTGGTGAGCATAGCGAGGATGGTGGATTCGAGCTCATGGTCTCGGGCGCTGGTGCAGATCTCGCCCTACACCTTCTCAGCTATCGGGATCGCCATCTCTATCGGTGTGTCCGTTCTCGGCGCTGCTTGGTAATAATCCCTTTCTTTCTCGTCCCTCATTTTCTCCTTCATTCCCTTATTTGGTGCCTCTCAAATCATTCTATCTATCCATCCTAAATGTGCAATGCGAATTTCAGCTATTTTAGTGTTTGAATCTTTACTAGCTGAATTCCTCTTTTTTACGTTGCTCGGGCGGTGTGGGGGTGTGTAGGGGGATCTACATAACAGGAAGCAGCTTGATCGGTGCTGCCATCAAAGCCCCGCGAATCACTTCGAAAAATCTAATCAGGTGAGGTGGGAAATTTATATTCACGTCACCATAATATTTTGATTGTTGTCGCTGCAACGTTGTGGACTGTCGATCGTTTAGATTTGTCTTCGTTGAATTCCATGTCTTCTATTTATATTAGTTGTCGACCTCATCTGTTTTTGGTTGAGTTCGTAAATGCGTAGTATGCTGTTTCTTATTTCACTTCCCTCTTCGCGACTGAAGAACCGTCTTCGACTTCGCCTAGGAATGTTGTTCCTTTGCTTGAAATAGACCGAGATCAGAGTGCCAATTCTTATAGTTTTAGTTTGTAGTCACATGGAACACTCATGCACTTTCTGCTTGATTAGATAGATAAAAAAAATTCGCGAAAGAATGACTACTCGGATTCCATTTTTTCCAATTTCAAATGGTGCATTCTGTCCCACTTGAAAGAATGTTTCGTGATAGAAGTTGGTTGTATCCAGGATGCATCTACGTGAGAAAACTATTTTCCTGATGTGCTAAGTCTGTGGTCACTAACAAAAAAAAAATGATTAGCATATTATGCCTCAACTGAACTTAAGAGTTTGGTATTATATCTTAAGTGAAGTCTGCCAACGTGTCACATAAAAGTTCACTATCAGTGGAAAACTTAATTTCGTATCACTTGAAAAAAAGGGCATCACAAATATCCATTTGCAGCAATAAGTTAGGGGGGCTGATGGAGAAGGGATCTCTAAGGTAGCAACTTTGAATCCATTTGCTTAAATATTCTAATTGAATGGATGATTATCAGAGTATCATTAAATTGTTCGAGATTCCTTATGTTGAGGCAGCCAAGTTAAGGTATGCATATCGGACGTTACTGATTAGGCAAAAGGTGTGACACCTAAAAACAATGTAAGTTTTCCTTGAAAGTTCTTTGGAATATCGTGGTACTCAACTCGCTGCACTGTATGGAGTGCCATTCTCATCTGCAAATAACGTGAAAGAATGATGATGGTGAAGAATTCACAGATTACAAGAAAATAAAACCTTGCGATTTGTGAGCTAGTGTCAATTTATTTGTTACTATCTTTGTTATAGTAATTCTCGGAATCAACTGTAGGCCATAGTATGCTATCTTTTGATAGCGTTGTAGAACATTTTGAAGTGCTTTCGCAGCTTTACGTTAAAAATGATTTCTCTCTTATGTGGTGGCTTTGAATAATCCACTCGAAACGAGATTCATTAGAGATGAATTTCTCCCCGTGCTTCTTTTTTTGGGAAACATTTTACAACCTTTTATTCTTCTGTCCTAGTTTTCAGTTTTTCCAAGTATTAAGGGCTTTTTCTTGATGAATACTAGTCCAGCCCTTGAAACAAGAAGATGAAATGTTTGAATATTAACAATCTTGTGGAAGCCATCTGAAGCAACTTTAATTTACCACACAGGATACACATTTAGTTGGAAAGATGACTCCATGAATATGCCGCAATTAGTTATTGAGAAATTGGTAGTGAAATTTAATGTATTATTGGTTGAAAATGACACGTTTCTAAAGCATGTTCTCATTAGACACCCATGGACGTCCGTACGGCATTTTAAAAATGAACCATCCTCGGGTGTTGAGCTTAAAGAGATGGTAAATCATGTTGGTTACTAATATTTAATATTTGGCCTATTTCAATTAATATAGTTGGGGTAGTATTTGCTGATATCTTTTGTGTTGCTTTTACATGGCCAAGAATATTATTTTTTTAGAAGGTGGTCCTCCCACTATTAAATTGAAATTTGGCAAACAGAAAATGCAATACAATAAAAATAAACAGGATGAAGAAGGAAAATCCAGAAATTTAGAATTACTATAGGAAGATGGGAAAAGCCACCGATTTCCTCCCCTCATCACATAAGGTGGTGTACGAGTATGATAAATAAACTAGAAAATAATAGCTTTTCTCTTCTTGACCATATTCTATTCACCCGATTGATGTTCATTATCTTTCTTTATTGCTCTAGACTGATATGATACAAATATTAAGCCCTATGGACAGCTCCTGGTAATGTTTTTAACATCTCTTGGGATTTTCTGTTGCTCCTCTGTTCATTATACATTCGGTGGGAATACACTTCAACTAATCTGAGTTTCTGATCACTGTACATGTAGTGTGTAAAATGGTTAGTTTTGTCGAATAAATCAGTTAGCAACATGATAGCCAATTATCATGGTGAGATGGTGACCACGCCATCCTTTTGGCTTGCCTGCTAAAATGGCAGGACAACTATGCCGCCCCTCAACCCACTGTTGCTTAGGTAATGCCTTGAATATTACGGCAAATTCGCTCTACATGCTGACCTAAAAAACCCTCAAAATGGTGGTCAGCCGCGGTTTCATCAAAATAGTATGCGATCCATGCCTTCGTGTTCCTCCATAACCTAAGGTTTTTGAGAACATGGAACTCTGTGTCAACATTCCTCATTTTCAATATGCCCTCTAGATTTAATGCTACTTTTAGAAGAGAGGTGGAATCTGATTTCCTGTTCCGTCGTGGGATACGAGAGAGAGAGAGCTGGACGCCCTTTTATACCTTTTTTGGTAATTTCAATGGGATATAATGAAAATTTGCCCTTTTTTCCATAATATCATCTGTTGAATCCACTCTGGTTGGCAGTGTGATTTTCTGCGAGGCTGTTGCCATTTATGGAGTCATCGTTGCCATCATCTTGCAAACAAAGCTGGAAAGCGTGCCGGCCTCTGTCGTCTATGATGCCGAGTCCCTAAGAGCAGGATATGCGATCTTCGCATCGGGCATCATTGTGGGCTTCGCCAACCTCGTCTGCGGGTAAATCACCATCGCCTCCCTCTATCTTCTCACTCTTCGATCAAACCACCCCAGTAAAGAAAACTGACCTCTCTCTCTCTCTCTCTCTCTTTCTCTCTCTCTCTTTCTCTCTCTATTTTTTTTTGTGACAGGCTCTGTGTGGGGATAATTGGGAGCAGCTGCGCCCTGTCAGATGCCCAGAACTCCACCCTGTTCGTAAAGATCCTGGTGATCGAGATCTTCGGCAGTGCCCTCGGGTTATTTGGAGTTATTGTGGGTATAATCATGTCGGCACAGGCCACGTGGCCGGCGGCAAAGTCCTCATGATCTTGGTATCTTCTGTCTCTCAGATTATGATCTTCCTTCCCCTTGCCATGATCTTCCTCCGTGGTTGTTATATTGGTAATAAAACATCAGCTCGTCCCAGTTCTCATCTTCTGTTCTGGGTATCCACCAGGAACCATGCTCGATATCTGGTTTATTAATTTTTTTTCCTACAATTTTGACTCGGATTTTCTGGTATTAAGGAAAAAGATGGGCCCCACCCCTTTCTTGAGATATGAGCCGCACTTGCGGTTCCGTCGGCCTTTACGGGACCTCTTTCTGGCCCATCATGACATATTAGGCCGTAATTCATCTTTCTCTCTCTATGTCTCTCTTTCTCTCTCTTCCGATATACGTAGGTCGATAAGGGCCAATTGCCCGAGCGGTTTCCCTGGGCCCGGCCCAGTTGTGGTCTCGCAAATAAATGCGTTTTTTTGGTTGAATCATATCCTTACATGGGCCGCGCTTGCGCTTTGGTGGGCCTATTGGGCCGTTATTCATCTCTCTTTCTCTCTCTTCCGATATAGGTAGATCCATAGGGGGCCTATTGCCTGAGCGGGATTCTTCGGCCCGGGGCAGTTGTCGTCTCGCAAGTAAATGCGCTGACCCATTGACTTCCGCGTTTTGTCGTTGAATTATAATTTGTGGGGCCCATGGTGGTCTAACCGCAGCCAAAGGGCATCGAAGGGTTGGATGGGATGTGTAGGGGAGGCGTGCTGCACACGCCACGTCATGATCTTGTTGAGCGTTGGGAACATTTACTTTTAACGTTCGATAAAGACGTTGGTTGAACGGCCCACTGGGCCCGATCCGTGCCATTATGGGCCTGCAATCCTTTTGGTAGTCAAATTCGTACTCTCTCTGTCTCTCTGTCGCTCGCTCGTCCTTTCCATTCATGTGATTGAGAGCGGAGGGACGATAAAAAACCTAATTCGTCGTCGTAGCCGGCGTGGGGCGCTTTGAGAATTGGACGGGGTGAATCACGCAGGAGTCCGGGAGGTGGGAAGGGGTTCCGCTTTGAACCCGCGGTTTGTCCGCGTGCTGGGTTGCAGCAGAGGGCAAAAGTACGGTTTGAGGGGGAAGGGAGGGAGGGAGAGGGGGAGGGAGAGGGGGAGAGAGAGAGAGAGAGAGAGAGAGAAACTGGTTAACCCTTACGTTCGATTCCCCAAGTCCAGGTAGTTGTACCTCTTTCAATCACGGCTATTTGTGAGGTTATATCCTTAGATTCCTGCTCCTGTTGCTTTTTTTCTGTTGATTTTTTATTGATTTGTTGTTTGTATGACCGTGCAATCCTTTTCGATGATTAGTTCATTTGTGTTCGGAGAGGCTGGAATTGTGGATTTATATCACCTCTGTAGCAGCAAACTTTCTTTGCCTCCGTGCTGAAGTCAGATTCTTGCGGGATCGTGGGGGGAATCTCGTTCCCTCAGGACTTCCCCATTTTTAGGCTTGTGATCTAGGTGCGATTTGTGTGCATCGGAGAAGAATAGCCGCATGAGATGACGGTCATGTGAGAACCTTCGATCCAAAAGTGCTTGAGTAGATAGGCCCAATCCGGTTGGAGGTAGAGAGATGCTTTTCGTATTTTTATGAAACGGTGTAAATATGAAGTTCTCCCTGAAGTATGTTCGACTTTCCATCACTGAGGAATGGATCTGGTGCCTGTCCCATCTATGTGCGCACATGGTGTAGAAAGTTGCGATGGGCTTGTCATGTGTCAGTTACTTGAAAGCCTTTTGTCTTTGGAGTTCTTATAGTCCTGTCATGAGAACGCCAGGTTTTTCAGGGAGGAGTGAAATTTGAAGCCCCACCGTGGCTTCAGGTGCCCAACATTCATTATTTTAGGTTTGTTGTATTCAAGTGGCCGTAATAAAATATTGATTATTGACTACCTATGAAACCTCGATACAAGGGCTTCAAGATCTGTGATTACTTTCCCCTAATGTATTCCGTGCATCTGAGATAGGCCTTGGAGCTTAGTTTTTTCTTTTTATGTTTCGTTAGTGTGGGCAAGGTTGTTTAAGCCCTTCATAGTGGTCAATATCCCTAGATTAGATTATGTTTAGAAGGGAGTTTTATGCCTAAGACATTACCTTTTTTTCACATTGCTTTTTCTTTTCCAATAGATTCTGAGCTTGGAGTTTTAGAAGGGCTGGGACATTCGTTTTCCTCTTCAACAATCTGTTTATGATGGCAGACAAGGCTTGCATTAAACGTCTTCAGAAGGAATACCGTGCTTTGTGTAAAGTAAGTTTCTTACATGTTCGAATAGCGATTTTTTTAATTTTCCTTACATAAAGTTTTTATTTCTTTATCTATGTACTCCTTAGTAGACGGTTCGAACCATTTGAAAATCAACTTGGACCATATCGTTCTAATTAACTCTGGACACTGGGGCCACAGAAATTTTGGTAACCAGAATTTTAGGATTTAATTGTAATACACTACAGACAAACATCCCTTGATAATTTTGCAGTGGGGAGTGTCACACAATGGTTTGATCCAGATCTGCTGGTGTCGTATTATTTTTCAGCATATGATTTCTGGTTTTCTTCTTGGCATTCCTATTATTGTGTCTTAGAATGAGCACTGAGTCGTTTGCCATTCCTCTCAAATTCTCTTGTAGCTATCTAGATGTTTTGTCCAAATTCTGTTTGATTCGTTACTTCTTTCCTGGATTTCCTTTTCATCTAATGCCAGTGATATATGATCTTTTAGGAACCAGTCTCCCAAGTCTCTGCTCGTCCCTCACCAAATGATATCCTAGAGTGGCGTAAGTGGATAATTCTTTTTATTTCAATGTCCAATTTTTGTAATAGTTAATTCCATTCTTCCGTGGTTGATGATGAGTTTCTTGTGTAAACTTATTATTTGCCTCGTGAGAAATCTTTCACTCATAATTTCGTCCAGAAACAGTAGGTAGTGGCTGAATAGTTGATTGCCTTACAGTAAGGGAAAGAAACATAGTGAAGCCATGGAGTGTTCAATAATTATTATGTTACTGATGCTTTCTGGTTAGACCCACTGCATATTTAAAATCTAGTTGTATTTCTTTTGGTTTTTATCTCATGAATTTTGAGACAGCGACTTATTGGTTTAGTCATCTTGTGGAAATGATGGTGTGGTGAATCCATTTATTTCCATCAAATGTTCGAATTGTATCAGTGATGAAAACTGGTAATCTATATATTACGATGGAATCTTAGCAATTCCTAATTTTCAGTTTCCATGTTTTATCTGTTGATTTTTCTTCATACTGGTCGTGATACCTAATCATGGCCCCTCCCTTTTATAATTGCACAGTATTATCTTTGCACAATACTTGTATTGCCTATAACCAGTTTCAAACGTTTTTAAAAGAAATCTCAACGCCACAATAGTACCGCAAGGAGAATTCCATTTTCATCTCTCAGACCAGTAGTGTGAAGTTTAAACTGATATCACACAAGTTACTCTGTCCACCTCTGTGCTTTGTAATGATTCTCAATTTGATTTTTCAATTGTCTGTCAGTATTCATCTAATCTTTTTAATTTATAGTCATTTTGGCCCTTCTGGTAAGTAGTTTTTTCTTTTCCTTTTTTAATAATCTTCTTTGATTCTTTTATTATTGTTTATTGTTGAAAAATCATCTGTCGATCGTAAGTGTTGATGCTTACTTTGGTTCAGCAAGAATTTAGCCATATGTAAATATGGACAAAAACATATTATTTCCTAGGTAAATAATAAGTGTTATTCTTCGAATAAAGTAGGTTGGCCATGAACTGATTCATCCAGTTGAAAGGAGTCAGGCATAATTGTAGATAGATATTCTATAAAAACGTTGTGAGGGTCAGAATGCCCATATGGTTCATGTTTCAACCAAAGATTTTAAGGTAACTATGCTAACTAATCAACGGCTATTCCTAGTATACAATTTTTTTCTTAGGGTATTGAGCCTCTTTTCTTCCATTTATTCAAATCATAATTTTTTTTTAAAACCCTCTGTATGGCTTTAAATTCTACCTCCAGCTGCACAGTCTCAAACAGGTTCCCATTTGTGTTTATCTGTGGTTTCGTTCATCGAGTATTATTAATGTTAAAGCATCTTAAATCCTTAGCTGCTTCGAATTGTTTACGCCCATACGAAATTTTATACATTCTGAACTTTCAGATTATGTGCTCGAGGGAAGTGAAGGCACACCATTTGCAGGTATGAGCTTCTTTGGATTTTTTTCTTTTTTTCCTTCATTTGCAAAATTATATAATATATGGGGCATGCCTGTTGGGTTACCAGAAAAATGTTGCCCTTCTTAAATGGGAAAGAAAAACAACCTCTACGTTTTAAAAGTTGAGGTTGTTGTGATGTTTTTTGTCCTAGGCATGAACTTTGAAGTCGGAAAGTGAAATACGTCTTGTCCCTTTCCTGCTATGGAATTTCCATACGTTGTTTTGGATATTATTTTCGTGATCAATTGGATTTTAACTGTGATCAGTCTCGTGAATGCCAATTTAATCTTAAAACTGTGTGGAATTCATAGAGGGCAAATACTTGAAGTGGAGTCCATTGCTGTCCTATGATTGGCTGATTTTGGTCCATTTCTGGTCAATTCTTGGACTTCAGTTTCCCTCACATTTTGGCAATCTTACCTCTTTTAACCTTAAGACAAGTACTGAACTGGCAGTCAATTATATAGAATCCCGGCCAAACCTGCTGATAATTTTGATGGGTGACATTTGGTAAAACTCACAAGCAGGGGAGCAAAATGGGGTCCTAAACCTGCTGAATCTGCTTCCCACGTTGTTTCCTTTCCTACTATATATTTTTTAGTTCTTTGTTTTTTTAACTGCTTACATATTTCCTTATTTATTTCGTGAAGGTGGATGTTACTATGGAAAAATCAAGTTTCCTCCAGAATATCCATACAAACCCCCTAGCATAAGGTATGCTTAAGCCCATGATCGTCTGTATCTCATTATTCTGATAACTATGATTATATGCTATGAGCTTTACGTAGAAAACTCATTTCCTTTTCTTATTTTGTCTGTATCTTAGCATGACCACTCCGAATGGACGGTTTGCCCCTCACAAAAAGATCTGCCTATCTATGAGTGATTGTAAGGACGACTTCTGTTTTGCCCCTGTTATGTCTATCAATTCAAATTTTAATGTTCCCTTTTCATCTTCCTCAGTCCATCCCGAGACCTGGAATCCCATGTGGTCCATATCAAGGTGACTTATAGTGTTCACAGTTTGGTATAATTTTCGTATTTTTTTCTTGTGAAATATTTTAGGAGATTTATCTTTTGCTGAAAGATTAACTCGTTGCATTTTTTTTATTTATCTTCTTTCCTTTCGTGAATGCAGCATACTTACGGGCCTCCTGTCCTTCATGGTGAGTCCCTCGATATCCTTTGTTATTTTGATTTTGCTCCAAGCTCGCCACAGATCCCAGAGAACATTAATCTCATTTCGATCAATAGAAATAGTGAAAGAGAATGGAATAGTTCCAGAAGAAGAGTATCGCATAAATAATGCTATCCTCTCTGGGAAATCTGGCCTCTCCCTACAGACTCCTAATTTAGACAGTGTGAGCGTGCAAGCAGCTATTTCTTGGATCAGCCTAGCGTTTGAATTTACCGTTCAAATACGTTGACTTCTTTCAGATAGAAACTATTTGCCCTCTCCCATGAAATGCATTTTCAGACAAGGTGGGGCATACTATGTTAGGAAACTATAATCCCATAAGATATATCCGAGTAAATAGATCTTGCTTTGATTTTTTTGCCTTTTTCTTTTCTTACCTTTTTTGTTTTCGGATGCAGATGGATGATGGCCAGACTACGGGTAGCATTAAGACATCAGACGAGGAAAAGAGACACCTGGCTCGCCTTTCCCTTGCATACAACTGTGAGAGGTCACTATCTCATCCTTGTCTTGTTTATTTCTTTATTGCAGAATTATCTGTTGCGAAGGATGAATGGAGTTAATTTCATCTGTAGCTGATTTCTGACAGATTCTTTGAAGTAGGTAATTCATGTTCTTATGATAAAACAGGACGGTAGAACTGCGCAAATAAGTGTTCCAATGATTAAAAAAAATATTCTTATTAACTTTTTTTCAAGGTAATTTTTATGTTATAATGGCGACTATGTGATTATCATCAAATTCGAAGGAAATATCTCAGACAACTATCATCTAGTGTTTTATGCCGCAGTTTAACCAGAAATCTTGGAGAATCTAACTGTAAATCTGTCAATCGCAGCAAGAACTGCCCCAATTTCCGGAAACTATTCCCAGAGTACGTCGAGAAGCACAACCAGCTGAAGATCAAGGAGCAGGAGTCAACCGCAGAGAGGGAACCGCAGGGCCATCCCGGTCCGCCGCCTGTTCTCGAGCGGCGGCATCCCATGAGAGCAGAAGCCGCCGCCGCTGCCGGCCCACCCGATGCTGAAGCTCCCAGGCGGCGACCAAAGAAGGTGCCCATCTGGCTGCTCGTTCTGCTGGCTTCACTCTTCGGCTTTGTCATGGCCCTGCCGCTGCTTCAGCTATGACGATCGGCGGCCCAAATCCTTCGAAGCTTTGGGTGATCCCCGCATGATTGTGTACAGACTTCCCTTTGTCATGGCTTATTCCTTGCTCCCTGTTAGGAAGATGGCTGGCGGGTAATCTGTCAAGACCCGGTTTTCGTCTCTCTTATATCCTGTGGATCACCCTAAGTGCGAATTGCTTGTTGGCCAGTCGATCCAAAGTCGAGGGCATCTCTCCATTAGTTACCCAGAGAAATCCTCATAAATGATCAGGTGGTCCGTAAAGGTGTGATTAATTTCCATATTTGGATCATCTTCAACCCACCGGTGCCTGAATCGATCACAGAACACCGGCGGAGATGGCGGCCATGCCAGCTCGGAGAGCGGCGGAGCCTTTTTCGGCCGATGTAGATGCCCTGGACTGATGAGACTCTTCGGGGATTGGATCAATTCGATTTCTTGTTGAATTCGATTTCTTGTTGAAAAGGGTATTTCAGGGATGTATTCACGGGGGAATCCGTAGACCCTCCTCGTCACCATTTTTGTCCTCTGCAGACTGCAGAGATACCTCCCGCTACATCTCACCTGCGAGCCCGAACAACTGCGCCTGCCCCCCCGCAGAAGTCCCCGCCGGTGAACACTATCCGGTAGGGATCTCCTTCTCCCCTTCCTCTGCGGAGCTCCCTCCCTCCCTCTCTCTCTCTCTCGCTCCCTTGGAAATGCTAGTTTTCTTTTTGTGACGATCGCTTGGGGCCGTTCTCTAACCAGATGCGAAAATGTGGGCGACGATTGGGACATTGCTTCTAGGGTTCTTGGTGGTGGCTTCACTTCTCGCCTCCAGATCAGTCCGTAAGGGTAACGACGGAGAACAGTTCTCGCCATGATTTACGCGTAACCGTTTCATGACCGCCTGCTGCGACCTGTGCAGGTAATGGGAAATCCGCTCGGAAGCTTTCCACAGCTGAGGTTCGTGAGCCAACCGAACCATCTTCCGCCATGAATTTTTTCTTCCTTTGCTGTTTATCGCATCAAAGACTGTAATAATGCCATCATAACCTTTGCTTGCTCCGATTACTTTAAACCCTATATTTGGGACCGAGATGTCTCCAAGCTGTGATCCATGGCTTACATCTGAAACTCCGGGGCGACAGCATGGGATTTCACCAGGCACAACAACGCTGTTCGTTGACTTTACTGTGCCTATACACAGCCTCTGTTTTCGTAGGAGGTCTCAAAATGCAGCTTCTCACCGTTGAAAAATCTGACCAAATTTTTTTTATCCCCACATTATGGAAAAAATCTGATTTAATTTTAGTAATGGGTTTTTCAGGCCAGGACTCTTATTCTCGAATATCACAATTTTTATGGAAGTTTATCGTATGAAAGAAATACTATCTTGATGCTTACTTTTGAGACATTTAGTTTCTTACCCACTAGATACAATGAACTGATGCATATGCTTATGAGATTGGACATCAGCACACATACTGGATAATAATCTGCCCACGAAACCGGGCTTCTTAAGAAAAGGAACGAGGAGAATGTATTTCATGTGGGATTACACGGTTGGGGACAGCCCGCCAATCTTTCTCACATCGCAGTTCATAGCATTCGTCATGTCTAGATGACCAGATTGATGATACAAGGCATATATGATGACGCTGATGATGGAAATGATGCTATCTACCCAATTTACGAAACATTTTTTTATTAAAGAATTATGATCATCCCAGCCCTCTTATACTATATATATATATATATATATATATATATATGTAAATTTATGATGATAGGTATGTATATTTATCTTTTTTCAGTTGATGCTCTCTCTTTAAAGCTATGAAACTTTAAAGTAGCAGTGGTGAAAATACCAGTTAACAAGATACCTCATTATTAACTAATCTTCATCTCTGTTTCTTTGTGATTCACCCAGACGCCCAAAACGTACACAAAAGCTGAGGTCTCCCTGCATAATTCAAGGAACGATTGCTGGATTATTGTGAAAGATAAGGTCGAAGCATGATCTCAATCATTCCATCGTGATTCTATTTTCACCAATTAACTGCAAATATTTCATCTGGGTTTTCCTCTTTTTTTTTGTTTTTTTTCTGGGGGAAGCCAAAGGATCATGATTCTTAACTACAACACTACTCAGGTTTATGATGTTACCTCATATGTGGAGGAGCATCCAGGTGCCGACGCCATACTGAATAATGCTGGAGGCGACTCAACCGAAGGCTTTTTCGGGTTAGTGCCTGTCATGAGTTGAATTCTTCTGATATTAACTAATTTGATCGTTTCTTTAAATTACTACTTCCCGATGTGTTTAGAGCATGATGACATTTTTGAACGATTTTCCGAATTAAGAATGGTAAAAACATTGATGTGACGTAATAAATGCGGATGATGGGCCCTTGGATGCCAGAATGTTAGAATTTTTGCCGAATATTAGACGGATTGTCAACTCACTGCCCTTTTCCATGGCTTCACACGCTGTTTTTGTACAACACTCGGCAGTGGCTGTCATTGATATATAGACATCTGGGTTAGGTTTTTAACCTCCATTATTTCTAAATATGGAAGGAAAATGATCGGTGAAATAGATGTTTCTTTGAACGGATTCAACGGATCTCCTGAGAGGTGTCACAGATCGTCATATTCATCTTTTTTTGGTGAACCATAGGAGAACAGCTTGGGTTGGAGTTCAAAATTTTTCATTGATGACTATCCAAATCGTAGGCAAATATTGAGAGGAGAGCAAAAAGGTTTGACTTCGCGAGACCACTGTGGTCAACGCGTGGAGTAAAGTAGGAGCGAAAAGGTTCTAACATCTACTGCTTCATGTTAGAGAGAGAGAGAGAGAGAGAGAGAGAGAGAGAGAGAGAGTTTAGGATGAATTCATACAATATTTTTCTTACCAGTCACTGTAAAAAAAATGATTTTTTCTAAAAATAAAAGGTGGGATGTTTAAATTTAATGGTTAATAATGTTGGCTTCAGACCGTAGGAATAAGAAATGGCCCAACATAACCTTAAGGATTATTTCATCTCTCTGCCACTCATGTTCCTATCTGGTTCCTGACAGCTGCATTCAGCTATGCTTGACAGCCAAAAATTAAAAAAACGAGGGGAAAATGAATATTAAGAGGTCTTTTATTATTTATTTTAATGGCAAGAAAGATAAAAAGGGAAAAGGGGCAGGATGACTTGATTTAATAGCAAGAAAGTTAAATTCTCGATCCAACCAGAAATATGTTCTCCTGCATCTCTTTAATTTTTCTATGTATATATATATATGAAGTGTTAATAATGCATATAGATATCTCATTTGATTTTAGGGTATTTATTATTTGCCGATTTTGGGCCGCATTCGGATCCTCTGACTTTATAATACCGTGATCTACATCAAAGTTCATATTTATCACTTTTCTTTTCCAGTTAAGTGGGAGAATTTATTTTTAATGGTTATTTCTTAATTGCGTTATCATCACTGTTAATAAGTGGCGGAGAAATAAAAATCCGTGGTTTGATCTGTTCAGGCCGCAGCATGCGACCAGGGTCTTCGACATGGTTGACGAATTCTACATCGGGGATCTGAAGCTGTGAGGGCGGTCTCTGCAAGTTTCCATTTTTGGAATGAATTGGTTCTGAGGGTTGACGAATTTAGAGGGCTGACATTTGGGCTATGGTTGTCGGTTAATGGTCATGAAAGAGACACGTAGACATGCCGTCATTTTCTCAGTTGACTCCCCCGCTATCCCGCGTACATATATGTGCACATATATACGCAGACGTACATTCACAGACATTTATATACGGGCATTGGTGCCAAATATTCCTCGTGCGTCCCCCGTCGAGTGGGCATCGTGAAGATGTGGGCCCCACAATAGATGTCCAGTTGGCAGTCATCTGACCGTCACGTGGCCGTCCATGTGGCGGCGCCGCTGACCATCCTCATCTCCCCATCTGGCAGTGGTTGCCTGGATTTAGCGGGTCCCCAGCATCTGGTGCACCCAAAGCGTCCTTTTTATTCAAAGACTAATCAATTTTGCAGCAGCTGATTCCTATTTCGGCCCCGATTTCCTCCGCGTTCTCAGGACCCCGATGATTTCGTTCCTGATCCACGATTCATTGGTTTTTATCCATTAATCAATGCTAGAGATATAAAAAATCTGCATCTCTGTCTCTCTCTATCTCTGTCGGTCTGTCTCTCTCTCTCTCTCTAGATTCGAACGTACATATATGCCTCTGTATCTCGCCAAGGTACCTTCATCTCCACTTCACTCTGCATAGATGGCCTCAGTCAAGTTCTTCGCTGTGGTGGCCGCGGCCCTTCTCCTCTCCTCCTCCCTTCTCGTCTCCGCCCAGCTGCCTGGTAATCCTCCCTTCTGTCTCCCATGAAAACAGAACGAGGCACGCTCCCCTCTTCTCCTTCTTTAATCATCATGTTCTTCTCCATCATCATCTTCTTCTTCTTCTTCTCCGTGGCAGGTGAGGCGGCGGTGCCACCAGCGGCGGCGGTGAGGGCGGTGGGGGATCCGGGAGACGAGGACTGCGTGTTCGCGGGGCCGTGTAGGACGAGGCTGGACTGCGCGAGGCCATGCAAGGCGTTGGGGCACTCGCCGACTGCCGTCCTCTGCGAGCCCTACATCGGCGGCTTGACCTGCTGCTGCCTTCTCTGACTGGTCTCGCCTCACCTCTGGTGGCTTGGCTTGCTGGCTGTCTGCCCTAAATAATCGAGCGTAGGATGATGAACAACGCTTTCTCCTTCATTATTGTTGTCCATGCTTTACTTCCCAGAAATCACGTTTGAGTGACACCGTTTCTTCTCTCTCTCTCTCTCTCTCTACATCGAGAGCGAGAGAGCGAGCGAGCGAGCGAGAGAGAGAGAGAGAGAGAGAGAGAGACGGCAGCCACTCTCAGGGCAAGTGGAGGCCAAAAACGGAAGGAACCAACCCCTGGGCAACGGAGGACAATGGCTCAATAACAAGATAAATCTATACATCCTCATTATTATTTTATATATATACAACAGATTATTACAGCGTGTTACATCCAGAAACACCAAACCTGCCGGAGATGGGGAAGAAAGTCTGAGATATACACGAACCTTGATAATGCTAGGATATTTCGATTCTTCGCCGGTATGGTAATTTCGCCACACACTATTCGGTTCATCATTTGATTTTTCCCCCTCAAAACAGTTCTCCCAAACTGATTATCTTTCTTGAATAACCAAGTAAATACGTATATTTGATTCGTCTCCATTAATATTTTCCCTCTCTACCACTGGGCCTTTGGCTCAGGATTCTACGCTAAGTCGATAATTACGTCCTTATCACACCTTTTTTCCCATCAAATCTTTCACTAGTGCTCATCAACGCCAGAGAAGGATTTTTTCTTCTATAAGAATCGTTGAACTCCGTGATACAGAAATTCGCCTTCGATTCCCGATTTCTGTGTTTATCGCTTAATTAGTACTCCAGAATACGGAAAAAATGGTTTCCTCTCTCTTTCTGCCTCTCTCTCTGTCTCTGTTTTCCGAACTTACCCAGGAGGAAGAAGGCTTCCTCTCCCTTTATATATAGAAACCCTATTTGTCCTGCACCGCAGTGCACCAGGCTAAGATGGTCTCGGTCAGGTTCTTCGCCGTGGTCGCAATGGCCCTCCTCGTTCCTTTCTCCTCCCTCCTCGTCCCTGTCCATCCGCTTGATAATCCTCCATCCTTCAAACCGTTTTCCCATTGAGGCATACTTTCGTTTCCCATTATTTGATAATATTCTCCCCACCGTCGTCGTCTTCTCCGTCGAAGATGCGGCGGCGGCGGCGAAGGGCTGTGCGTTCGCAGGACCATGCAAGACGAGCGATGGCTGTGCGAGGCCATGCAAGGCCTTGAGACACTCCCCAACCGCCTCGGGCAATTGACCTGCTGCTGCCTTCTCTGATTGTCCTGGTAGGTCTGTCTGTTGGTTTCTTTGGATAAAGTCAACGCAGGAGGCGGTCTGGACAGATTTTATTTTTTCTCCGGCAAGGAATGGCTAACATTGTATTATTCATTAAAAATAATCTGATAATCATGCCCACAGAAGTAAGATGGGAATGATAAATATGATGACTACACTACTCACGGAAAATGGGCTTTGAGTTGGATGGAAGAATATGTAACCTAAAGTGTGTGTGTGTGTGTGTGTGTGTGTGTGTGTGTGTGTGTGTGTGTGTGTGTGTGTGAGAGAGAGAGAGAGAGAGAGAGAGAGAGAGAGAGAGAGAGAGAGCCTTGGGATTCTCTATATACGGAAGCATGTGAGGAGAAAGACCTGTAATAAAACCCCACCTTTCGTAAGAGATAAATAGACTTCGATTTTTTCTTTTCTCACACTATGCTGGGTGCCACCATATTGTATTCTCCCTTCCGTTCAGCCACCCTAACAGGTATTATAGTAACAGAGTTTCCATCATCTTCCCCACAATCTCAAGATTCATCTCAAGCTCGCCAATCCTCTGGTCCAGGGGACGGAGGACAACATGCATACTAGAGGAAGATGACAAGAAATCCATACCCAACTTATCATGCAGTTCTTTCGTCCATAAGATAATGTATTCTCTCTTACTAGACCCTTATTATTGTTGGAGATGAAGTTCAATTAGTTGACAAAGGATATATTTAACAAGACAACATTGTCCTTCTTGAAAATTATTTTCTTATTATAGAATCAACTACATTTAAACTCATGTTAACCTTTGCCATGTGTGACAATTTGATACCTTGTTCAGTTACATGTTGATAATACTTTCTACATTGACAAGTTATTCAAAGAAGTATACATCAGTAAAGTTTTGGGATATCAAAGTCAAGTAGATCTTCTTAATCATCAAACTATGTTTGTGAACTACACAAATCAGTTTAGAGTTCAACAAGTATCTTGATAATAGTATTCCAAATTATTCAACTTGTTCAATTTGAATTCTGTCAAAATCTCATTATTTGTTCATGATTCTTCTTTTATGATTCTTCTTATTTACATGGAGAACATTATCCTAGTTAGCCCTTCACTTTCACCCTTCAGTGATGGGTGAGTTAGACCATTTACATGGCATCATAGTTTTACGTCCACAATAATACATCAAAGTTTTACGAGAAAAAATGATAGAACAAAAAATAAAGTTCAACTTGGTCTCTAAAGTAAGATCATCTATTAAAGTATCATCGGTAAGAGACTTTCACAATTTGAAGTAAGGAAGGACTCAAGGATAGTCTCACGCACTTTGGAAAAAATAACAAAACGCAATGATCATATCTAAGTGCGACCCTAATGATAAAAATGTTTGTTGATCAGTTTCGTATCTGCAAATACATTATCAAGGAAAACATATAAGAAAGCATAAAGATTTGAATTGAAGAATGAATGAAGATTTGTAATATTAAATCTAGGTGATAACATGTCATTAATGTTCATGGACAAAATGACAAGCTCAATGATCATATCTGAGCTTGACCCTAAAAACAATACTATATGTTAATTAGTTTAGAATCTTCATACACATTATCAAGGATGACTAAAGGTCAAAAATCACAAATATGAACAGTAACTTGTCAACATAATATGTGGACTAAAGACAAACCAAACGATCATTTGTGAGCAAGACCCTGCAAGAAAACATATCGGTCAATTAAGAATCTTCATCTGAAGTATTATAAACAACAAACTCAAGAATGAAAAGATTGGCACCATAAAACTCTGCTAATATGTTGGCAGAGTAATATAAGGATATACAAAACTCATATGACCATTTTCAGATGTTGAAATTACAAAGATGTGATGATGTATAAAGAGAATGAGATGAAGATGAATAAAGGTTAACATTGAATGAAGATATTTCATTCACACCATTCACTCAAGATCAAGAAGAATATACACCATTCTATTTAGCATAGTGACTATTCTTAAGAGATTGTTGTAAAACTCTCAAATTAAGTCAACTTTAATTTTTGAGGTTAGTCACCTAAAATAGATTTATGGAAGATTATATGAGTGAATAGAGTCAAGTCAAACACATGAATTAGGAGTTTTATGAGTTTAAAATAGATTTCTCTATTTGATTCAATGATGAAACGAGATGAAAAAGTTGAGAATAAATTATTTTAGACACTTAGAAAGAGAAGAAATTATGAAATCAAGAGATTAAACTCTTAATCTTGTGTTGGAGAGAGGGAGAAAATAAAATCATTTAAATCTTAAGAGTTAAGTATCCTAAAAATTCCTAAAATATAATCATCATTTACACATGCAAAGTAACCTTACCCAAGATGTAAAACATGGACTGACGAGGTCAGGAGCTTCCCCTAGAAGTTGGGAATTAATTGTTGATCACTTAGCCCTCTGGCCTAAGATCCACCCTCTAAATACAACTTTAAATAAGAAAACAATGCAAAATACTAACCTTTTATTCAAAGATTCAAAGCATGGAGTACATTTCAGCCCCTTCTCTCCTATCACAAGACAAAACTGCTTAAAAGAAGCCCCCCCTCATTAGTGACAGAAGAAATATATATAAGGAAGGTTTTCCCTATCTTAGAATGCCCATGGATGACTTAGATCGTGAGATCTGGTCTCAATAATGATCAACCATCTGATCTTCATAAGACAACACTGGCCACAATCTCAACTGTTCATTATGCCTAACACTATGAAGGCATCCACTAGATCCATCTCAACCTCAATCATTTTTCGTGCCCTATAATCTTGGTTGTTAGGTTCTCTTAAAATAATATAATAAAATAGTATATCAATCATCAATAATATATTTAACTTAAAACTAGGTAAACGATTTCTTATAATAAAAATTCTGAAAAAATCCCTAAAAACTAGGAAAAATTAGAGTTCTTTTAAAATTAAAAGTATCTTAAACTTTATAACATGTCATATTTTTTGAAAACATATTAAAAAGTGTGTATAAATATTATTGATAACATAAGATGGCATGTTATCTCATAGCAATTGTGTGTCTAAAAGATAAAATCAAAATCATCATCCTACTCACTTATTTGCAATGATCTATAAGTCAGCTAATTGAGTTGAGTGGTGAGTGGAATGAGGGCTAAACTAAGACACAAGATGTTGAGAGCTAGAAAATACGTGTGGAGGGTTGTGTTATTTGAAGAGAATTGTGTATTAACTTAGGCATAGGGAGTTAAGAGCCAAAACCTATTCATGTGCGGTGTGATCTCCAGAGATTGAATAGAGATATTTAAGTTATTGATCTTATGAAATCAACTTTATTTTCAAAAAAATAATGAAATCTGATAGGAAGATCATCTAAGATTGGACATAGCCCAATGGATAGTGAACTAATATAAAAATCTGTGTTCCTCATAGTTACAAGTGAGAGAAAGATACTAAAGTGACCTCAAGATGAAAAGAAAAGGGACTTAAGTGAATGTACCTATAGATCTGAAATATTATATTAAGACATGTGTCGAGACATATACACGAAGAAAAAATATAGAGTAGAACAAAATATATAAGAAACTAATTCAGCCCCTTTCTTGGTACTTAACCTTATCAAACCTAACATATCTTGAGTCATACCTTTTGTCATAGGAGAAGTATAATCCATTGGCCATTCTTACTTATATATTATTTGTCAAAAACTTGTCATCTCTTCATTCCACCACAATTTTCAACCTGACCTTCTTTAAAAGTTGAGTCTTGATTCTCCTTGACCTAGTAAATCTCAAATGTTCCAAGTGATGTTGTCTTTTTCTTCTACCAATTATAACATCTCCCCTATTGAGTTTAGATTGATTGGTTAAAGAATTATAACCTCAACCTTGATATTTAGTTTTAAACATTTGAAATTAGATTATTCGTGACTTCTTTCAATAATTATCCTATTCATATTTTAAAAATTCAAAATCTCTTTTTTTATTTGATTGATTTATGCTATTTAATATTTAAGAACTATTTTCACAAGCTCTTTAGTTGGGAGGAGTTGAA